AGAATGAAATTTTTCTGCCCCCAAATGCTTGTTATATCTTGCATTGCCAATCTCAGTTGGGTTCCCAAGCTGGAGACAGGGGATCACATTTGACTTCTCTTTCTCTCTTGCTCCCCACTTTAAATCTTACCCAAGCCTATCAATTTTGCTTTCTAAATATCCCTCCATCAAAGCTGCTTCTTCAGGTTCTCATTATCCCTTTCCTAGAATGCTGCAAAACTTTCCTAACTGCTTCTCCAGTCCACTGCTCTTCCAATCCATCCTTCACACTGCTCTAGTGATTTTCCTAAGTCATAAATCTGACTGCGTTGTTTCTGAGACAGAGTCCTCCAGTGGTTTCTCCATGACTTCAGGATAAAACAAAACTCCTCCACATTATTTATGTCTTTCTATTCTAGCTTCATCTCTCTCTGCTTCTAACTCACACTATACCCCAAGCATTGAATCTTCAATGTCTTCCCATGAATTTTCCAAATTCACTGAGTTATTTAACTCCCCAATCTTCGCATACATGATTCCCTTTGCTAGAACGCTTCTCTTCCTCTCATTTGTGTAGTGAACTAATCCCTTAAAACCAGGTGTGGCCATTACTTATGCAGGGAAGATTACCTGCAGAAAGAGGAAATAATAAAACCATATTTTAATGTCTTATACCTACTTGTTTTCATTTCTATGTCAGGACCTTTGCACTTGATGTTTCCTCTTCCCAAAATGTTTTCCCCCCAATTCTTCACATGATGGCTTTTTCTAATCATTTAGGTCTCGGTTCAAGTGTTACTCTCAGGCAGGTCTCCTGTTCACTCATTTTAACAGAGCAGCTCCACCACCCTGATCATTATCAGTACCATCCTTAGACCTGTGCTTTCAAGGGCCTTCTCCGTGGCCACCAGGGATCCCGCACCAGCTAGGGCTGTAGTACCATACGGTGGGGAGGGCAGGGACTGAGCTGACACCAGGACCTGCATAGACCCCAGACCCATTTCAATACTTCAGGGCATTTTTGAAACTTCTGTTTCCCATACAGGATCAACCAGATGCCCCAAAGTACTCCCAGACTTGTGCTATGAGGTTATCCAATGGCTCCATGTCCAGCCTTGGTTTCGGAGGGCAGCCTGGCCAGCAGATCACTCCAGCTGACTGGCACAATACTTTTGTCCTGGGATCATATGAAATGGGTTGCCAGAATGTTGCTGCCACTTTGATTTGGAGTGACTCAAATTTTTTATATAGACACAGGTCCCATATATCCTGGGAATGACACTGCTCCTTCATAGCACTTACACGTTCTGAACGTTCTGCTTCTTCATAGCATTTACACACACTGTTTATTAATTCATTTATTCATTTATTTTCTGAGTGCCACTCCTCCACTAGAAGTAAGTAGTAAGCTATGTGAAAAGAGTGACCTTAGATATCTTGTTCACCACCAGACATTCAGTGCTAAAACGGTTCCTGGCACCGAAGGTATTCAGTAAATACCTATTGAGCAGATAAATGAATGATTGCATGAAATAGTGTATTTAATTACAGACCTCTCTCCTTCTCTAGAATGTAAGCTCTCAAAAGACAAAGGATTTTGTCTTATTCACCTTGGTCTTCATACTGGCATAGTGCCTGCCATATGAGAAGGCATGAGGTCAATATCTTTGAATTGATACATAAATAAATAAATGAGTGAATGAATGACCATATAATATCTAGACTCGAGGTTCTTAACCTTGTCTTCACAATTCTAACGTGTAAATGACGTTAAGAACCTCTAGTTCTTAAAAGCTGTTAAGAAACTTTTAAAACTGCAGTGCTCAGGACCAGTTAAATCAGAATCTCTGAGGACACATCCCAGGCATGAGTATATTTTAAACTCTCCAGGAAATTTCAGTGTTCAACCACAGTTGAGAATACGGTGACCAGCCATCCAGGTTTGTGCAGGACTGAGGGGTCTCCCAGGATTCAGAAATTTCAGTGCTAACATTGTGACTATACCAGGCAAACTAGAATGGTTGGTTACCCTAACTGAGAACCACTGATTCAAACTGTCACCCAGCACCAATCTTGAGTGATATATTTTCAATTTTTGAAAAGTTAAGACTCATCAGTTTCATGCTTTCATTTGACACTTACCTGATTACATTCAGGCAGCTCACGTTGACCTCAATGACTGCTTTCTGCTGTGTTCTTGTTCAGATTTGTGTGGCTACTGTTGACTTGGGTGACATACAAATTTGTGGCATACAAATGGCAAGCGAACGATTAAACCATTACAGCAGGTCAGCAAGGACCAATAGGGCAGCTAAGCTTCCTTAGCTGGAAGTTAGCATAAAGTGCTACCTTTCCAAATGCAACTCCATTGAGCCTTCACTTTTCATTCTCCTTCAACATGTTGACAGTACATTCTGACACATTCCTATTTATCACTTATGCATGTCAGTTACCCTGGTATGAGCTTGCAGTCCCTGCTGTTATCTGAGGAGACAAGAAATACTTTCCTTAATGGAAAAATCCCTATGTAAACCGAATTAATATTTATCATTCCAATTAATTTAATTCCTAATTAATTTACTACAAGTATGTGATTTATACTGAACCCATCAATATCTGGACACCAGAATAGAAATGCTCTTTGACCCTTTGACCTATGAAGGGAACATAGCACTGCAGCTCTCTAAGGCCTTGTTATTCAAAGGGTGGCCCTAGATCATCAGCCTCAGCATCGCCTGGGAGCTTGTTAGAAATACAGAGACTCAGGTCCCACCCCAGACGTACTTAATCAGAATCTTTGGAGGTGGGGCCCAAGAATCTGTGTTTTAAAAAGCTCTCCAGATTATTCTTATGCATGCTCAAATTTGAGAAGGGGTCATCTAGAGAACACTTCACTTACCTAATTCTTCACATCATTATCTCAAAGCCCAGAGAGAAGAGGTAAGGGTAAGCAGAGGAAAGAAACATGTGGCACAGTGGTCCCCAAACTCTGCTGCACATTGAAAACACCTGGAGATCTTACACACTATCTGCGCCTGGCTTGCCACCCAAGGCACCTTGATACCATTGGTTTGAGGTGCAACCAGGGCACAGGGATATTGTAAAACCTTCCCAGGTGATTCTAATGTACAGCAGAGATTGGGAATCACTGATACAGCAGCCATATCCCCAGCTCCTTGCTTTGGGCTTCCACTGATGAAGAACCCAGAGGAATGGGCAGCATCAGCATTTTCCATCCCTCCTTCCTTCACAAACATCGGAATCAGCAGGGACAAAATGAAGGGAAAACGCACTGAGTCTGAATCTCACCTCTGGTATAATGAATGCTTATTCTGTTTACCCTCTGTTAGTAGCTGTTTGATCTTTAACCTCTCTGGACCTCAGTATCATCTGTCAAATGGAGACAGTAAGACCAAATTCCCAGGATTATTTGGGACATTACATATGATAACATGTGGATGTGCCTAATACTTTGCCATTTGAAAACATCTGATGCAGGAAAGAGTGTCATCTCTTTATCCTGCTCCCCTGGAGGTGGGACATCCAGCAGCATGAAGTCTGACAAATATTTAGGGATGTGTCTTGCTCAGTGCACCAAGGATATTGATGAATTGAAATAACCCTGTTCACGTGTGAGTTCATTTATATAATCCCATTTCAGTCTCACATCTCAGCTGGGTAAACAGGATAACTTTATTATTTTTTTTTGCGGTACGCGGGCCTCTCACTGTTGTGGCCTCTCCCGTTGCAGAGCACAGGCTCCGGACGCGCAGGCTTAGCGGCCATGGCTCACGGGCCCAGCCGCTCTGCGGCATGTGGGATCTTCCCGGACCGGGGCACGAACCCGCGTCCCCTGCATCGGCAGGTGGACTCTCAACCACTGCGCCACCAGGGAAGCCCAACAGGATAACTTTTATTGTCCCCATTTTACAGATGATAAAACAGTGGCTTAGAGAGGTCCAGTGCCACACAGCAGTGAAATGGCAGACTCAGATCCTCTGACTGTAGCCCATTTTTCTCTTCATTCTCAATCTCACATCCCGCTGCTTGGCAGGTTGCATTTATGGACAGGATACATTGATTTAGACCAGCTCTGTCCCAGTAAACCATCTCTGTGATGATGGAACTGTTCTGTACTTGCACTGTCCAATTCAAAGGCCACCAGCCACATGCGACTATTGAGCACTTGAAATGTGGCTACTATGAGTGAGGAATTAAAGTTTTAATTTAATTTTAATTAGTTTAGATTTAAATAGCCACACGTAGACAGTGCAGATCTAGTGACAGAGTCTGGAGAATAATGGGAAACTGAAAAATTGTTCAGTGGTTTCTACTCACAAATCAAAGTAAACCTCAGCCACTTGTTTGCCTTTGTCTTAAAAGATCTTCTTAACTCTTTTTCTTTCAGTGTTAAAGCTGGCTCACTTTCTTGACAAGGGCACCATCACCATGCAATATATAATTCAAATGATGCCTTGAAACCAGTGATTGGCCAGCAGAAACAAAATGTGTTGTAGAGCAGGCTTCTCAAACTTCAACATGTATAGGAATCACCTGGGATCTTGTTGAAATACAGATTCTGATTTAGTAGGTCTGGGGTGGGACCTGGGATTCTGCCTTTCTAATAAGTGCCCAGGTGATGCTGCCGCTGCTGCCCTGTGAACCACACCTTGACTAGCAAAGCTGTAGAGCAGCAGTTGGGTTAATATTGTCTCCCTTCACTCCTGGGGGCATTTGGCAATGTCTGGAGATATTTTTGGTTGTCATGGCTTGGTGGGAGAGGTGCTGTTGGCATCTACTGGGTCCTGAGATGCTGCTAAATATTCTACAATATATAGGACATGATAATTATCCTGCTCAAAATGGCGGTAGGGCCAAGTATGAGAACCCCTGCTGTACAGCCAGGTCTGCTCTCCAGGAAGAGGGGGTGGATGGGAGAGCGATGGAGTGGGTCTTCTTGGTGTAATAACTGAGTGCTGTTTTCTCTCTCTCATTCTTCTCTCCTACTTATCTACACACAGGAGCCAATGCCTCGGCCCCAGACCAACTGAGCTTAGCTTTAGCCTGGAACAGAGTCGACATCGCCCGCAGCCAGATCTTTATTTATGGGCAACAGTGGCCGGTAGAGTATATGTTGTCACCCCTGAAAAGCCCACTTGCGTGGGCAAGGGTATTTGTTTAAGGAATCTCTGAGAGCGGCTCAGGAAACCGCTGCTTTTTCTTTAGGGTGGAAATGTTCCTTTGTAGCTGTCCTCATTCTCAGCTTCCTTTCTTATATTTAGGAAAACACTGTCATCTGGTGGAAGATATGACAAAGCACAGCCCCAAATGTTCCAAACATTTCCATCTCTCTGAGTGGCCTTTGATAGCTATGTTTAGCTGCAACTAATGCCATTTCTTTTATATGCCTGAAAAAATATATATAAGACAAAATTGTGTTCATTAAAACTAAGTAAGGAGCAGAGTTAGCAGTTTGTTTCTGGTTGTCCCGGAGGTTTCTGCTGCCATGTGGCGGCACCCCATGCTGGTGTGGGGCTGGGTCGCACCTTAGGATACAGAATTAGCAGGCTTCCACATGCCGGTGCCATCTGGTCCTGGAGGCTGAGCACAGGTCCTCCCTGAACCCAAGAACAATACAGAGTCAACGAAAGCTTTATATAACTGTTCTTGGTTTGTTTCCGTCAACTGGCTCTACCAAAAATAAAAACTTGGAAAATTGGCCATTGGGTGGTGTATGCTTGTATGCCCAGGAGGCAGCCAACAGTCTGGGATTTGATTTCTGTGCCTGGAATCACTGCAGGGCAACACCTTCATGTACAGGTCTTTTTTAACCCTTCCTCTGCCCCAGAGAGCTTCTGCCTAGGATTGAAACCCTGGCTTCATTTAGTGCAAATGAATTGCTAGTGTGGAAAGATTTGTCAAGGAATCTGGACACTGGGAAATTTTTGTGAAAGAAGTTAAATAAAACCCTAGTAAACAGACCAAATGACCTAAATAGTTACTGGGCCTCTGTGTAGAAATGGGCGAGGTAGAGACAAGGTAGTATCACTTAACTAAAAAAAAAAAAAAGCAGCCTTCTTTCTGGTCTGTTTACTAGGATCCCTCCTCTCAGGTCAGCCAGGAGTCCAATTTAGAGCCTAAGGAAGATGACAGTGAAGACAGTAAAGTACTCACTTTGGCACTTCACTGGTTTTGTAGAAGTTTGGTCAGAGAGTTGGAAAAGGGAAAACCTTGTAAACCCTTGCACCTTCTCAGAATCTAGAACAAAAAAAGAGATTCAAGGAAGAATTAGCTTTTGGAACTAGAGATCCTTGTGTTCTGTTTGCAAAGACAAGCCCCAAAACATAGGAGAGAGTGTGACTGTCCCAGAAGTGGGTTTGGGAAACTCTTGCTAGCATGTTCTTGGGTGGGGGTGCTGAAGGTTTACCAGGTGTCAAAGGCATCCATTTCTAAACTATTCAGGAGAATGCCAGAGAACTACATCCTTAGACCCTGGGTCAGACTAACTCTGACTTGATTTGCAGGTGGGGTCTCTGGAGCAAGCCATGTTGGATGCCCTAGTTCTGGACAGAGTGGATTTTGTGAAATTACTCATAGAGAATGGAGTAAGCATGCACCGTTTTCTCACCATCTCCAGACTAGAGGAATTGTACAATACGGTAGGACCAAGCTAAGGCACATTTTATTTTCTCTACTTTTTGTGTGTGTTTGTTTTACCTTCTCCTGCCCCCCACATGTCTGTGAGTCCCTGCCCTCCCCTCCAAATGCATGGATCATTTTCCACAAATGCTCCCTTAGACCTGTATAGACAACAAACACCAAGTCACCAAGAATCCACTTGTTTTAACTGCTCAGTTGTCAGCATCTAAGAAGCAGAAAGTTACGTGATCACCAAAAGGTAATGTTCTCAGGTTCTTACACAAAAGCATACGGCTCTGGAAATTAGAACACACTTTATTCTGTAAGCCCAGAGGGTGTTTGAGGCAATCAGCAGAGGAGGATTGATTTAACTCCAAGCATCAAAGGAGGCTGATTAACTATCCTGCACCATCTTGTTATCCTCAGAGCTATGAAGTTCATTCATTCCACTATAATAGGATAAAATGTAAAAACCTCTTGTTTGGAGTTACCCAGAAAGATTTTTTTTGTTTTGTTTTATAATGATTTGTTAATTCATTCACTAGGGATACCAAGAAGTAATCAAAAGAAAACCTACTCTTTATGAAGTTGTTGAGAGTATCCAGTGAGTTAAGTACATCAGCTCTGAGCTGATACTCACTAAAATACAATGAAGTTTAAAGAGTAGATATTGTTTTCCCCCATTTTACAGATGAGGAAACTGAGGCCAAGAAGAGAATTGGCTTATTCAAGATAACAGAATTTCTAAGTAAAGAAAGAAGCCAGTACTGAACCAAAGCTTCTTTCTCAGAAACTGTTTTCCCCTCATTTGTCACAGTGCCTCTTTGTCCCACCACCCACAGCACTAATGAGATGGAGCTTGTTGGCCTGTCCCCAGCCAATGATAGGTATTAGCTGGTGCCACCCTGGCTCTGTAACATTCCCACTGCTGGAAGTAGAAAACAAGTTAGCGGAATGACCCCACGTTTCTGTTTTCTCTGCAGATTTTTCTCAGTTCCGGATACTAAGACTTTCAGTAATAATAGGCCAGAATGGCAGAGTGGTAGACCCAGCCTCTATCCCCGCCCCCCCCACCCCTGACAAAGATCCACAATTAGACAGCTATCCACAGACAAAGACAGCTCTAGGAGAGCTCAGGAGTTCAATTAAGAAACTTCAGCAAAACAGTGGAACAAAAAATATCTGAAAATAACCACACAAAAAGGAGAGGAAGAACAGCTTCATTGTGTCTGTATCACCCTGTCCCCTGAGGCCAGCACAGCTCTGTGCCAAGAGGAAGCTCCTCAGCTAGAAATAGTTCCCCTCACTGGAAAAGAGAGCCAGTGAGCCTTTCAGGGCACTGCACAAAGGACACACTTCGGTTTCACCCCGCCCAGAGACCTGCAAAGCTGAGACGTACTGTGATAGCTAGCAACACAGTATGAGCCAGGCTGAAGGCTGAGTAACCACGGTTCCCAGGGACCTGCTCTGCAGAGGACCCCGGCATTTTTCACCAGTGAAGAAACCAATAGCCAGCACAGCTGCCACAGAGCCCTGCAGATTTCACTGGCTTTTGCCCTACAGATACTTGCGCTCATAGACACCAGTCACACAAGCCCCTCACCACTCCCTCTCCCCTCACCCCTGCTGGCGCCTGGGGTCCACACCAGCAGCCAGCCCAGGCCTCTGTGGCTACACGATTGCAAGAACCCAGCCTAGACCCCCATGGCTGACCTCCACTGCTGTGCACACTCTGAAAGCTAGCACCTCTGGCTGTGCACCTGTACACTGCTGGCCTGACACACACCGCCACGGCTGTGGAAATGCAAGACCCTAGAACTGCAAGACCCTGCAGCTACATGAGTACACTCCATCAGCCAAGGCTGCATGTGGACCAATAGCAAGTAAGGAGATTGAATCAGGAATCAAAAACCTCCCAACAAAGAAAAGCCCAGGACCAGATGGCTTCACAGGTGAATTCTACCAAACATTTAAAGAATTAACTCCAATTCTTTTCCAATTCTTCAAAAAAAATTGAAGAGGAGGGAATGTTCCCAAACTTATTTTAGGAGGCCAGAATTACCATAATAGCAAAGCCAGATAAGGACACTGCAAGAAAAGAAAACTACAGGTCAATATTCCTGATGAATATAGATGCAAAAATTCTCAACAAAATACTAGCAAACCAAATTGAAGCACATTAAAAAGATGGTATACCATGATCAAGTGGGAGTCTTCCTAGATGCAAGGATGGTTCAACATACACAAATTAATAAATGTGATACATCACATTAGTAGAATGAAAGACAAAAATCATGATCATCTCAGTGGATGCAGAAAATATATTTGACAAAATTCAACATCCTTTCATGGTAAAAACTCTCAACAAATTGAGTATAAAAGTAACACACCTCAATGTAATAAAGGCCATATATGACAAACCCATAGCTAACATCATACTCAATGGTGACAGATTGAAAGCTTTCCTTCTGAGATCAGGAACAAGAAAATTGTGCCCACTCTTACCACTCCTATTCAACATGGTACTGGAAGTCGTAGCCAGAGAAATTAGGCCAAAATAAAAGGAGAAAAAGCAATAAAAAATTTTTTATCCAAATTGAAAAGGAAGAAAGAAAATTGTCTCTGTTTGCTGATAACAGCATCTTGTATACAGAAAATCCTAAAGACTCCACCAAAAAATCTATTAGAACTAATAAATTCAGTAAGTTTCAGTATACAGAAGCAGCATACAAAAATCAATTGCATTTATGTATGCTAACAATGAACTATCTGAAAAAGAAATAAAACAATTCCATTTACAACAGCACCAAAAACAATAAAATACTTAGGAATAAACTTAACCAAAGAAGTGAAAGATCTATATATCAAAAACTATGACATTGATAAAAGAAATTGAAGAAGGCACAAATAAATGGAAAGATATCTCATGTTCATGAACTGGAAGTGTTAATATTGTTAAAATGTTCATGCTACCCAAAACCATCTATAGATTCAATGCAATTCTGGTGGCATTTTTCACAGAAATAGAAAAAAAAATCCTAAAATTTGCACTGAAACACCAAAGACCCTGAATAGCCAAAGAAATCATGAGAAAGAAGAACAAAGGTGGAGACATCACACTTCTTGATTTCAAACTATATCACAAAGATACAGTAATCGAAATAGTTATGGTATCAGCATAAAAACAGACACATAGACCAATGGAACAGAATCAAGAGCCCAGCAATAAACTCATGCATATACAGTTAACTAATATTAGACAAGGGAACAAAATATAGGAAACAATATGGAGGTTCCTCAAAAAAATTGGGGCCGAGGGGCGGGGGAAATGGGGAGATGTTGGCCAAAGGGTACAAACTTTCAGTTATAAGATGAATATGTTTCAGGGATCTAATATACAGCATTGTGACTGTAGTTAACAGTACTATATTGTATACTTGCAAGTTAATATGAGATCAGAGCTTTAATGTTCTCACCATAACAACAGCAAAATGATTATTAAGTGAGGTGAAGGATATGTTAACTAACCTTATTGTGGTAGACATTTCACAATATAGATGAGCATCAAATCATCACATTGTACACCTTAAACTTACACAATGTTACATGTCAATTTTATCTCAATAAAACTGGGGAAAAATAATAATGGGGTTTTCAGTAAAATAAATAAATGAAAACACAGAGTTGAATGACCTTCATATAAATTAGAGAATCAAGGGAGTAGAGTGATTTATTCCAATGATTGGAAAGAAGTAAGTAGGAAAGTTATAGATCAAGAAAGGCCAATAGATTTCATCACTCCAGTCAAGTCTAATCAGCGTTCCCTAGAGTACTCTGTTGAAAAGGATTATGGAACAGTGAATGGCCTCAGTGATAAGAATAGCTAGCATTTTCTAAGCACTATTTTAATAGTTTTATAAACATTTCATCATTTAATCCTCACAACAGCCCTACCAGATAAGTGGTAGTATTATCCTCATTTTATAGATAGTAAGACTGAGTCACAGTCTTACTTAAGCAGCTTGCCCATGGTCACAGCTGGTAAGCAGCAGGGTCAGGTTTGGAGCCAGGCATTCTGACTCCAGAGTTTGCATGTTTAATCCCTACACAATACTGCATCCCTCAGTGGAAAAAGAGTTCTGATGAGTATGTCCGCCTGAAGGGACCAGTAGTTGAGGCGGTACACAGGGATTGTCTTGAATACTTGAATGTGTTCCAACAGTGCTTAAGGATTTGCCATCACTGTTCAAGATCTTCCAATACGGTCACCAGATTCAGCAAACAAAAATACAGAATTCCCAGTTAGGTTTGAATTTCAGATAAAGAACAAATAATTTTTAGTATGTCTCACATATTGCACAAGACATACTCAAAATTATTCATTGTTATTGGTCAAAATGTACAAAATTCCAAATTTATTTATAAAATAAATGTCATGAGGATGTAATATACAGCACAGTGACTATAGTTAATAATATTGTATTGCATATTTGAAAGTTGTTGAGAGAGTAGATCTTTAAGGTCCTTATCACAAGAAAAAAATCTAAGAACTATGTATGGTGAGAGATATTAAATAGACTTATTGTAATGATCATTTTGCCTCATATACAAATATCGAATCACTATGTTGTACACCTGGAACTAATATATGTCAATTATACCTCAATTTAAAAAAGATGAGGAAACATAAAAGCAAAAGAAGCTGTAAATCAAAAGATTAAGAGATATAGTTACATTTAAAACTTTTAATTTGATACATAAAAAATACATGAATACTAAAAAGAAATACAAAATAGGCCATCAGGGCTTCCCTGGTGGCGCAGTGGTTAAGAATCCACCTTCCAATGCAGGGGACAGGGGTTCGATCCCTGGCCCAGGAAGATCCCATATGCTGCGGAGCAACTAAGCCCGTGCACCACAACTACTGAGCCTGCGCTCTAGAGCCCGCGTGCCACAAGTACTGAAGCCAGTGTGCCTAGAGCCCATGCTCTGCAGCAAAAGAAGCCATGACAGTGAGAAGCCCATGCACCGCAACAAAGAGTAGCCACCACTTGCTGCAACTAGAGAAAGCCTGCACACAGCAACAAAGACCCAACACAGCCAAAAATAAAAACAGATTAAAAAAAAAAAAAAGGCCATCAATATGACAAATAAAAGTTCAACATTAAGAATTAATAAAATGAATGAAAATTAAAACAAAGAAGTTATTCATTGGCTGTCTGGAATTCAGATTTAACTAGGCATCCTGTGTTTCATCTGATATTCCTGTTCCTGAAAGACAAGAGAATGGCAAACCACTTCACTTTATTCTTACCTTAAGCAACGGTAAGGATCTTTTGCACAATGGCAGAGTTGAACAGTTGCGATGAAGACTGTATGGCCCACGAAGTCTAAGATACTAACCATCTAGCTATTTACAGAAAAAGTCTGCCAAACCCTGCTTTAGCCGGTTTCTCATGCATTATGGGTAATAAACAAGTTGTGATTGGCAGTGTGCCAAATTGTACTTCTGATGCAGTAAACTGGCCCTTTTGTCTTCCCCTGCTGCACAGCTAGCCTCTTGAATGATGTTTTGGCCCAGCTGTCAACAGAGTTGATGGCCTCCTTTGCAAAGTTTGAATCTAGAACCTCAAATGCTTTTTCTTGAGGAGCCACAATCCAAAAACCCGCCACTGTGTTTGTTTAGAAAAGACAGGTACAACTGAGCAACTAGAACAAGGTTCATCTTAATGAACTTCCCCTCCGCCAGCCAGAACCCTTCCTTCCAGATCCTTGTTGCCTTGCCAATGAGAGCCCCTGACTAGCAAAACCATTTGATTCTTCTTTATTGTTTTCAGAGACATGGGCCCTCAAACACATTGTACCACTTGGTCAGGGATGTCAAAAAGGTAAGAACCCTCGCGACTGCAGGTCGGAGGCCCTGTCTTGACTGCTTCCTGTGATTAGAAAGTGCCTGTTTTGCATGAGCTGCCAGAGTATTCCTGTCCCTGCCAGACCCCCTCATTTCAGGACACAGTGTGCGTGTGTGTCTTTTAACTTTGACATCTCTGCTTATGATGCAGCTGCAGTATTACCGCCAGTCTCCATGGTTTTAGATGCTTTCATGGGACATAATGCTTTCGGGTAGTGGAACCCTAGGCTTTCCCCCCATGCCTTGTGGATTTATGCCATTACCTGTATTTTTTCATGTGCTCCTCACTATTGGGGGAACTCGTTTCCATGCTATCCAACTGACCATGAAAGGTATATTTATTTACTAGCTCCTGATGCAGTGTATCACCACCACATCTAGCATGACACAGAGCATATAGTAAGCGTAGCTCAAAAAGTCTCAGAGAAACAGAGACTACAACATATATATACATTCCATTCTGCTAACACTTTATTTTCTCCAATATATTTTTTCACATTCATCATCAAATTTGATGGGGGAAAAAGCCAGTTGGTTTGGATCTAGTAGATTTATGCCCAATTTAAAAATGAGGAGGTTGAAACACAAGGAGGTGAGATCTGTACTGAGTGGTTGGTAAGGAGCTAGAATTAGAACTCAAATTCTTTAATAATCATAATCATAAGTAATGGTACCTAGGATTTAGTGATGACTAGGTATGTGACACTAATCCTTCTATGTGTCTTAGCTCATTTCATCTTCACAACAAATATATGAAGTAGAGTTATTATTTTATTTTTTTTTACTATATAGTGTTATTCCCATTTATAGATGAGAAAAATGAGGCAAAGGGAGGTTACATCTCATCTTAACCAAGTGCTTGTTCTGCCCCATAAAATCTCTTTCCGAGGTAGCTTCAGTTCTGAACGCTTGGCAGGGTTCCCAGAAAGTGATGTTTTAACACCAAAGGATAAAATAAATGGTGACGCTTCCCCTACCACATACACATGTACACACGCACACACATACACAGGTATATCCACCTACCAGTTGGTAGCAATTCTTTGCCAAATTCCATAGGACATACTCGGAGAAAGCTACAAAGTGAGGTAAAAAGTAGAGTGCCATTCCTTCATCTTATAGGAAGTCATAGGCTAGAACTACCCTTTAGGTGTCCTGTAGCCACTTACTAATTTTTCCTTCGAAAGGCCCTGGGGCTGATTATAATGTACCTATTAACCAGCTGGACCTTTGCTAATAATGAGTAAAGAGTACTAAAAAACCTCCTTCTGTAGGGCCTTGGGAACTTTACTCCCACCTCTGCACAACCTTACTGAAAAATTTCTCATCCGTGTGAGTGAGTGAAGCCTGTAGTTCTTTCAAAGCAAGGGAAATAGATGCTATGCCATCTGTATATTTTACCAAGATCACACCTTTGCATGGTCTGCCTCATTTCAAGCCATAAACATACCTGCCCTCAACAAACCCACTTCTCTTTTCCTCAAGTCTTCCTATTTTGTTTAATTTATCTTGGCGTAAAATTTCCTGGTAACTAAACAGAAGTATCTCAGAAGATTAGATGTACACACCAAGCATGTATTCTTTGCCAAGGTACTTGTTGCTCATGTTCAAAACTCAAAATGTTTTGAGGTTTTCTAAAATAATAAGTAAAATATCCCCCTCACCTTAATCTAGTCTGTGTCACTGAAGGAATTATGAGGCTTTCTGAAGAGACAACTGTGTGCCTTTGTCCCTTAGTCCCAGCCACTGGGCAGGCCAAGCCTTCATATAAAGTCACTCATCTACCTCCATCACCAAGCTTCTCAATGTCTTGCCTGATTTTCAAAGAGATTTTTGCAGTTAGATTTTAATGAATATAAATGATTGAAATCCCTCCTAATAGGTTCTCTTCCTCGTAGGACTTTGCTTTGCATATCATTTTCTTTTTTCTGAAGTTCCATTAGCTGCCTCTTACATTTGCTTACATTTAGTGGAAGGCATGTAGAGTATTTTTAAGGTAGGGTTTTCTTTAACTTCTTAGCTAAAGGTATACCTCAAAAATAATATAGACTAACAAGACAGGACAGGATGGTAAGAATTTGGGAGGACTATCAGTTAGGAGCAGTTTTATTTTTCTTTCAAGTGTGATCCAAATACTAGAGCAAGAATATAGTTATACGAGGATTCATCTACTTACTAACTTAGTAGCGGGAAAAAAATAACAAATCATTCAGGATAGTACTGAAATGGCTTAGGAAAAATTTATCCTTTTTCTTGAGAAAAGAGACTGCCAATATGGTTGGGAGAAACAAAAGCCTATGTTTAGTTTCTTCCCTTGGGAAGAAATAGGGGCAGGAAATGCAGACTCCATTTATTTCTATGATAAAGGTGAGTGTCTGACTATTGGAGAGCAAGAAAGAATAACAATGGTAGCCAAAGGAGCTGTAAGTGTCTATGTTTTATGGATGAAAGTAGCTAAAAATGAGTTTTTTTTGTTTGTGTTTTTTTTAAGAAGTGAATGAGAGAGAAATTAATATTGGTAAACATCTTCCTCACAGTTTATGCCAATAAGATATGCAAAATCTACAAAAACTAGGTTTAAAATGCTAAGAAAATCTTGGGCAGTTTAAACAGTTTTCAAAATTAAGGAACATAATAATTAGCATGTGCTTTGTGCTTTATGGTTATAGGACTTTATGTACATGTTAGTTGATTTAATCTATGACAAAAATTAATCAGTAAGTGATAAGCCCTAGTATGAAACGAATGCTGTTCAAAAATTAGAAACACAGTTCGGGACCTTACACGTAGTGTTTGATAATATGTCTGTAAAATAAAATGTAAATAACTAATGAACCCAGAGAATGCATTTAGGAATTATCAGACCATCATTAAGTTAACCAGCATATCTCCAAGTCCAACTATCCTTTGAAACCAACAGAACTGAACGTGGAGAATTACTCCCAAGCTAGTTTCAAAACCTTAAATTATTTATATCAAGGGAGCAATCTAGGAGCAATGAAGTAGAGTTAGTATCAATCAGAAATTTAAAATATCAGCCAACCCAGTTCCCTGAACCTTTCTTGTGCATAAATCCATTGGATGTACCAATGCTCTCATATTAAACCAGAGTGGCCTGAGTCTGTCCGCTTTTCCATGAAATCTAACTTGCCATTTTAGTAGCTAACTGTCTGCTCAATTTGTGCCTCTGTATGTTTTAAAGTAGTAGTTTTTCTTTCTTAAATGTACTAATACTTCAGATTGCCTCAATTATCCCTCCCCACCAAAGAAGGGTGATATTTGAGTATTATGTAAGAGTAGTGGTGAGATTATGATAACTTAAAATTCAGTTATATGGGAATCAAGACCCAGAGCTTTGCCGAATTTTAAAGAAAAAGCATTTCGGACACACTTTGAGGAAAAAAAGGACATTTTCATAACCCCATCTGCTGAATTCATGCAAATTTTCAAAATTCTTAATTTTTAAAAGATTGGTTGCCCAGTCTACTGCCATGCCAAACACTGAGGGAATGTCCTCTTTTCCCATGAATTTTCACCAGGTTGGTCTTTTCCCCACTCTCCCTTGGTAAATCTTACAACCAGCTATCATTTTATACCTTGCATACATCAGAAGGAAACAGTATTCTTTGAAGGCTTGTTATGAGTTTCAAAGAAAAAAAAAGTTTCCTAAACAGCTGAAATCTGATAGTGATATCATGAGCTGACATCTGAAAAACAGAGTGCATTTAGAAGAGCAGATCTAATAAGTGAATTTAAGTTATTCTTTTAATTAAAAGACATCCTTAGGCATGGCATGGATTAAAATTTAGCCTCAGAGTAGTATCTCATGGCATGAAAAAAAAGGAGACAATGTTTTCAAGTTGTAAAATTTACTTACCCATGGATCCAAGCCTCTCTATTTTACTCTGTGGATCAAATTATTTGAATCCTGTGGCTTGCTGTGTGTTGTTAAGGCATGAAATGGGAAATAAGTGTTCAGACTTTACCAGTTACCAAAGTAATTACCAAAAACAGGGAGCAGGGAATAACAGAAACAGCAGGCAGAATGAATATTACTGCAGTATATTGACTTCCTATTCGAAAAGGAGACAAGCAAAGGAAGACTCCTCCAGAGGCTTTTGGACATTACCTGTGGAATATGAGGAGGCATTTTTCTCTGCTTTTTTTTAAAGGAGGTGGATGTTATGAGCACAAGCCCATCCCTGTCTAACCCTTTACCCTCCCTTTTCTCTAAGCCTCCATCTCTACTAACCAAATTCCAGCAGATTATTAGAAACTGCATCAACTCTGGAAGCTCTGGACAGGGGTCTTTGGCCAGTGACCTGGCAGCATAGAAATAAGAGCAGCCTTCCACGTAGTGATCAAACAACTGGACCTTTAGAAACAGACAGGACCTTAGAAGTAACTATGTCCACATTGCCTGTTTTCAGAGCATGAATTGAAGTACAGAGAGAGAACCCTCATTGCCTTGTATTAGGTGACCATCGCCCCCTTGTAGTCAAACAGAAATCAGGCCAGTTCCTTTCAGGCCATCACTCAAAGCTCAGTAACCCAGAATGGTCACAGAATCTTTTCTCCTACTTCAGACCAGATCATACAAAAATCACTCCAAAATAATCAAGCTTTATATAAGAAATTTCTAGGAAAAGAAGATTCTAACACCTTCTTTGGTAGTATGTAAGCCTATCAGCCCTTTATGAATTTGCATAAAATTTTGCAAAACAATGTTGCCAGTGTTTGCAGAACATTTGTAAAAAGTGTTGCCCCTCTAAAATTTTTGTTTATTTTGGATTTTACTATTACCACTTTCCTGACAACCCACGCTTACAGAGACCTCAAAAGCATAAATATTGCCATTCACTATTGGTCTTCAGGCAATATTGGTTCTTGTTCTTAGAATTCAAACTGATGTTCACACATACGTTTCTCAAAAGGAAATATACAGGTGTTAGGCTCACTATTACCCACGTTTTAAATTTGGAAAATTGTTACAAGACTAAAAATAGGCACAAATTCATAGACCCACTATGATTGTTGTTCAGTAGCATCACAATAAACCTTTTGGGGATTTTTCTGAAACCTGGTACTTGAGCAATACAAACCGTAAAGGGCATGGAGTTTAGCCCCTTTTACTGGGAAGAAAACTGAGGCCTTGAGGGAAAGTGGATGATTTGTGAAGGATGGACAGAGTCCAGAGCAACTGACTCGCAGCCAGTACTCTTTCCCCTGCCAGCTTCACAGTGCCAAGGAAAATAGCACCGATCGGGTGAGCCTCCTCTGGAGGTCATCCGTGTAGGAGCCAAATGCACAGGAGATGAGGCTGACCGAGATGTGCCCAGAGAAGCTCTGGGGCTCTTCTACTCTTGAAATAATAGCCTCGCCTAACCGTCCAGTAAGAGCCAGACAATACAGAAAGCGCAGTCTTGTTAACCTGCCCAAAATAATGGAGAAAAAGTGTTGCACAGGTAATATTTTTAGATTCAGTTTAATGTTTATGGAAAGGACAATACATAAAAAGTTACTACCTTAAAATAAATCTTTCTCTAAGTTCCCTTTTAAAGAAGTCAGACAATTGGTCTTTCTTGATAACCAGAGGATAGCTGGGGCTTTCCCACCCAGGAGTGACTCATAAACTGTAACTAGTTAGTTGTTACTGAGAACATAATACTGAAGAACCCCAAACTGAGGCTTGATCCCAAATACATTGATTAATTTCAGTGTTTTACTTATTCACATTTTTGACCAAAAAAAAAAAAAAATTGAATGCCTACCATACACCAGGCATTGGGAATACAAAGATAAATAAAACAATTAAAAATATGAAGTTATAGGTTTGATGGCAGGATACAGTGGGCCACCTGTAATCCTGAATCCCTTTCAAGTGATTGCTGTTGACCATAGGAAAGCTGATAAGGATAACTGAAAACCTACCTTCAGTTAATAAAACTACATAAGCTAATTTCCTAGAGATAATGATATCTTCATATACTATGAATTTCCCAATTCTGCTGTGTAATCCCACCTGAACTTTACTTAGTAGACCTCAGAATCACCTGGACAGCTCATAAAGTGCATAGAGTCTCATACTCGAAGCAGGATAGGGTCCAGACCTTTGCATTGTCACCAAGTTCCTCAGATGGTTCAGATGCCGCAAAGTTGGAAAACCACCACTATTATGAGCCACTTCTGTGAAGTGGCAGGAATCTCACACAGCATCCTGGATGGATCCTCCATTAAAGACAAACCCCAAAGTGGACAAAGCCCTCAGGCCCCTCCAAAATGTATCTAAGAATGCAGTGTGCCAGGCTTCCAACACGGTGTGGTACCCCTGCCATTCATGGTATAGAGCACACTTCTGCATCAGGGAACTAAACCAGACAGTGAGACTTGATCATTTGTACCCCTTGGAGCTCACTGTGAGCTCAGAATTTCCCACAAACAGAACTAATTCTTCCTTGACCTAACAAAATAAGGATTTTCTCAGACCCTATAGAGTTCCCTTTTGAAGTAGAAACCAGTAATGAGCAGATAATAATAAAAACGCTTGTTTTTGCATCTATATATACAACATTAAACTTATACCATAGCTCTAGGTCCTTAAGAAGCACTATTCTCTGAAAGAAAATATGAAAAACCTCTTTAATTCTGAGAAAATAAATATTCTGTTGATAAAACTTCTCTTATTTCACCCCTCTTTCTCTTTAAACACAGGGGATGTTCATAAAGGACTTTGTCATGACATCCATCTTGCTGTCCTTTTATTAAAAGGGTGCCAATTTTTTAAAAAGTTTAATAGAAGTTTTGTATAAAAGATATTTGAGCTCTCAGCATATTTCACCTGATGCAGTCCCTGGTAATCACAATTGTCTTCTGGAAGGAGTCTTCATTCAGTGAGTGTGAAGAAATAAATGATCAGCAAGAGGACAGTAACAGGCCTGGGTCAGAGGCAGAGCAGCAAGGGGGTCCAGGGAGAGTATCTGGGGGACATAGTTCCTAGTGGCTGGGAGTGGTAGAATTTGCCATATCTAGCCTTGTGTTTCTTTCTGCTACACTGGTGTCTTTTTCTCCCCAGCTGAAGACTTGAATAAATATTTTGATTTTCTGTTATTGCCGACGATTACTGCATCTTCTTATTTAACTTATGTCTTCTTTCCAAGCGAGAATATCCAGGTTTCGGTTGGATCTATTTTAAGGTGAATTGATTAACCAGAATAATAATACATTCATATGTTTCTTTTTTAATTATTATTATTATTTTACTCTAAAATAGTTACAGAACACATGGAATAGAATCCCTAGTAAACCATGCTGTCTTTTGGATGTGTCTGTTTGTTCCATTCTTCCGTGATAGGGGAACCTGCCCCCAGACTACAGAATCAGCCTGATAGACATCGGCCTGGTGATCGAGTACCTGATGGGAGGGGCTTATCGCTGCAACTACACGCGAAAGCGCTTCCGGACGCTCTACCACAATCTCTTTGGCCCCAAGAGGGTGAGGCTGGCAGCAAATCCCATTTCCTGGACTCTGGGGAGGACTAGTGTGCAGTAGATTTGGAGTGCGGCTGCTTTGTCATCTCCAAGGGGGAGATCAGATGACAAGGCAATTGCCCTGCCTCTTCTTCCCTCTGCCGTCAAATATGTTGAAAAAAGAAAAAAGAAAAAAAGGAATATGCTGGGTGTTACACTTCTTTCTTTTCCTCACTAGATCCAATTCAAACCAGAAACTGGCTTTGAAAGTGAACCTTTTTTAGCTTTTCTACATGCTATGAATTGAGATGACATGCTCAACTTCTAAATAAGTCATTTTGTATATTAAAAAAGTAATTTTTCTCATTTAAAAAAAGTGAACCTTGGGCTTCCCTGGTGGTGCAGTGGTTGAGAGTCTGCCTGCCGATGCAGGGGACACGGGTTCGTGCCCCGGTCCGGGAAGATCCCACATGCTGCAGAGCGGCTGGGCCCGTGAGCCATGGCCGCTGAGCCTGTGCGTCCAAAGCCTGTGCTCTGCAACAGGAGAGGCCACAACAGAGAGAGGCCCGCGTACCGCAAAAAAAAAAAAAAAAAAAAAGGTGAACCTTAATGATCAGAGAATAGTAATTATATTCAAATAATCTTATTATCTACCACATCACTTTTCAAGGTTTTTGCTCTTGGGATCTATTTATAAAAAATTATTGAGGACCCCCCCAAAGATTTTTATCTGTATGAGTTCCATCTTGTTCTATAATTTGCTGAGTTGCCTTCTCTTCCGTCTTGGTCTGTGCCTGTTTTGCACATCCCCAGCATCACCGGTGGTGCTACTGTGTGTGCTTACACTTTCCATGCCATGAGTGCCTTTTGCCGTCAGCACATGCCCCTCTGGTCCCACTCACCCTTGCTCTACTGGACAGCAGCAAAGAGAGATAACCAGCGTGAAGCATCTCAACATATAGTATTTCTGAATAATATCCCAAGTCTCCAGATAATAGAGGTCTTTCAGAGGTTTGGGAAACATCTCATAGTTTGACTGACTGTCTCATTGTTCACTCAAGTGCTTGATGTCATGGAGAGGTCGGCCTAGCGGGATGGTTTTAGGATGATGGAAGAAATCTTGGTCCACAAAAGAGATTATAAACCTGCAGGCTCTACCCTCGGGCAATCTCATTATGCCTCTCCAGTTTCCTAATTTTCTGTAATTTACCAAAATCACTAAATCCCTAATTCTCTTAGAATTTCTATAAAGAGTTTCCCCTGTGGTGTTTTATTTAGTGAAATGAATACATGCTGTGTGGTACAATAGATTTGTTCCATTACCTGTTTAAGATACATTAGGATTCTTTTCTTACCTCTATAAAGAAATCTAACTTTGTGCATAACATTTTTTTTAACAGCCCAAAGCCTTGAAACTGCTGGGAATGGAGGTAAGTGTTTGCTCAAATTATTAGTGTCAATTGTTTATTCTCTTTATTACACATTTCAAAAAAAAAATATATATATATAAGGTCATTCCAGTGGTAGAGCTTAGTACATGATTCTAAAATAAGGAGGTGAAATTTTTTCCAGTGTCGAGGGGCAGGTCACAGTAGCTTTGAAAATTCTATCATGGGGTTATATTAGCATTGCAAACAAACAAAAAAAAAATCCTATTTGAAATACTGACTTGAAAACCAAGAAAGCATATAAATTCCAGTAAGTGAAATCTATTCATGGAAGTTTACAAATGGCAACAGATCCAAAGACCAGAAATTCTTCACAAATGCATCTAATGAAGTATTCAGAAACTCAAGAAAGATTATCTGTCTCCCATCTTCTGTTCATGTGGTTATTATCGTATATCCAATTGCAAGTATAGGATGTCCTTGTCTTTTCAGTGGAAAGGGTAGTGCTGTCCATCATGAGGTACAAATAACCCTACTTGTAGAGTAAAAGAATGGACAAAAGTTAAAAAAAAAAAAGCCCATTAAAAAATACTGTTCTAAAATTAAAGTATAACACTGACATGTTCCCATAGGACTGTGCTTATTCATTTATTATAACTTGTTTTAAAGTTAGGCATTCAGGGGCTTGTGAGTTCTTTTAGAATAGAAGCTAGGAAAAGACAGTTTATTTTTTCTGTATCTATTCCAGAGCTGGGCCAGTAGTAGACATACAAGAACTATTTACTGAATTGAGTGGATTCATTTCTAACTCCATCTCTGTGTTTTTTCCCTAAAATTACAGGATGATGTTCCCTTGAGGCGAGGAAGAAAGACAACCAAGAAGCGTGAAGAAGAGGTGGACATTGACTTGGATGACCCTGAGATCAACCACTTCCCTTTCCCTTTTCATGAGCTGATGGTGTGGGCCGTCCTGATGAAGCGGCAGAAGATGGCCCTGTTCTTCTGGCAGCATGGCGAGGAGGCCATGGCCAAGGCCTTGGTGGCCTGTAAGCTCTGCAAAGCCATGGCCCACGAGGCTTCCGAGAACGACATGGTTGATGACATCTCCCAGGAGCTGAACCACAACTCCAGGTTGGACGGCCTAGCAAATGGCGTGGTCAGGGGAGAAGAAGGGAAGGTGGTCCCCAGATACAGGTTTTTTGAGCTATCCAATACTTCAAGGGGAGACAGAATCAACCCAATGGTGCACACAGAGGGCGGACACAAACAGTTAACATTTACAGTGCACAGTGCTAGATACAGAGGTACATACAGATACATAGATTTCATTTCATCCTCTCAACTGCCTCAAGAGGTAGGTCCCTTATGATGCATACTTTACACCTGAAGAAAATGAGACTCAGAGAATTTAAGTAACCTGTCCAAGATCACACACTTGTGGTTGACAAGGCCCAGCTCTGAACTGAGGTCTGTCACATTTAAGAAGACATACTGCACTCTGAGTTTTGGGTCTGCCTTCCACATCCATATGCCTTGAACTGGGGGCCTTGAGTGCAGGGATTGTGCTTCATTTGACTTACACCCCCAGTTCTAAACATGGTATCTGGCACACAGTAGATGCTTAATGGGTGTTGGCTGAATGAATGAATGAACAGACTAGACCCCATAAGGAACAACTAGACCACTCAGCAACCACCCTTTGTGGCTTGGCCAGTGGGTCCCCACTTTCATCATCTAAGTCTCCAAGATGGCCAAAAGACAGTTCCTCACATTCTCTCATTCAGGGACTTTGGCCAACTGGCCGTGGAGCTCCTGGACCAGTCCTACAAGCAGGATGAGCAGCTGGCCATGAAACTGCTGACGTATGAGCTGAAGAACTGGAGCAACGCCACATGCCTGCAGCTCGCAGTAGCTGCCAAGCACCGTGACTTCATCGCACACACATGCAGCCAGATGTTGCTCACGGACATGTGGATGGGTCGGCTCCGGATGCGCAAGAACTCAGGCCTCAAGGTCAGTGAGTCCAGAAGGCCCTGTTGGCTATGAGGGCCAGAGGGCTGGTGGGAGCTTTCCAAGCCAAATCTGCAGTGGTAGTGGGCATTCTCTTAACTCGGGAGGGTGGTTCTGAGCCCCAACTGTGCATCAGAATCTTCTGTATAATGGGTTGTTTTTTTGAATACAGAGACGAGGGCCTACCCCAAGTTCTGCTAAATCAGAACCTTTAGAGATGGCATGCCTAGACAGTAATATTCTCAGAAGATCCAAGGTGATGGTCACACAGGGGTACCATAGGAGGTATCATTTGCTCTGTCACAAGCCATGCTGCACCAGGAGACACTTACTTAGGCAACCTTTCACCTCCATGTGAGCCTGAACGCCTTGGCCCCTCCTTGGCACCATAAAGAGACATTGGCTCTTATCAGCTGTACTTTAGAAATTTTTTAAATGAAATAAAAATGAGATAGATTTATATGTAAAGATGTTGCTAAATAATCCTGATCTATTTTTCATTGAAGGAAAACAAGTTGCAGACCAACAGGTAGAGCCTGAGTCCATTTCTTTGGTTTTTTTAAAGCATGTACATGTATAGTTCTATTTGTACAACTTCATTTTTTTATTAAAAAAAATAGAAAGGATACACAGTAAATTGTTTGTAGTAGTTACCCCTGGGGTTGAAAGTATAAGAAATAGGATAATAAGTGGCTTTTGATTTTTTGTTTTCTTCAGTGTTTTACAAGCAAAACATTAAACTGAGAGAATTTTTTAAAAGACCAAAAAAATGGGAAGGGAAGATGGAAAGAATGTTTTAAAATGCTTTATCTGTTTAGAGTCTGTGGCTGTTACAACTGAAGCCAGCCAGGCTTATACTTACCTAGAACTACCTGCTCTAGGTAACTCTGAGGTCAGCCCAAAATAAAAGGGCCACCAGACCAGAGCAGTCTGCTGAGGCCACCCTGATTGAACCAGCAACCCTCCCCAACTCCACCCTTTCTGTGGGCTCTTGGCCCAGAGTCACAGAAGGGTTCCATGAAGTGGGTCATGGGCATTCCATCACTACACTGCAAACAATGCCAAGCCTGGCTCTCAGCTCTGAGGACAGGGTGTCATGTCCCCTGAAGACTGCCAGGCATGCCACCTGAGCGTTCCCAGGCCTGCCAGGCACCCTTAGTCAGGGTCACCACTCTCCCCTTTCCCTTAGCTGCTCTCAAGTCCCTGGGCACTCGAGCACAGACTGTCCCTGCCTCATTACTTGAGAATCATTTTTACTTATCCTTCATGGCCTCTCTTAGCCCCTCACCTTGGTATACTTTCTTCAGGGAGGGTTGTATTCAGAAGCCTTGTACACAGAACCATTTTAGGACTGAGGGAAGAGGTGAGAGAAGATTTAGGAAACGCAAATCAGATGTCAGTATTATCATTCAGAAACTTGGTCCCTGGAAATAGAGAATGAAATTATTGCCCTCTCATGAGAAAAGCCAATGAATTTAGTGTCATCACGTGGAGATTTAAGCATGTGGTTTATAATGAGAGAAATACAGTGCTGAGCCTCCTGGGGCATTTGTGCAGAGGGACTCTCATAGTGATACAGAGCCCACGTGTGTGGGGGGGGTTTCTGTTGGATAGTAGCAAATGCTGGGGGATGCTCTAAAATGAATACAGTTTTCCTACATGGACTTTCTCAAGGTCAACTTAGGACAGTATTTTTTACAGAGATAACCAGGTGACACATAATCAGTTCCACTTGGCATATTAATAAATAAATGCCAGTGGACGTAAGTATGAACTGACTTCACAAAGTGCCATCAAGTGACTCAATGGGAATCTGGATTTTTTCCCATTTTTGCCTTGGGTAGAATCTTTTTCCTCTGTTTCCCTCATGCAAAGTAGGTGTTAATTGGATAAGATGTATTTGGATAAGATGCTTTGTTTCTCCAAGATCAGACTGAGCTACTGTGAGTTAACAGTTAACAGTTCCCAGTCATGTGGGCAGAAGTGACCCTCTTAGCATGGATGTTCTTAGTTATTCAGATATACAGGTCCCCACTGTGGGCACACCCAACACTCATACACCCTCACATCACACACACACAGACCCCACCCCCCAGGCTCTCTGATTCTAAGCAACCACCCTTATCTGAATCCTTTAAATGTGATTATTATTATTATCATTATTATTACTTTAGGTAATTCTGGGAATTCTACTTCCTCCTTCAATTCTCAGCTTGGAGTTCAAGAACAAAGATGACATGCCCTATATGACTCAGGCCCAGGAAATTCACCTCCAAGAGAAGGAGCAAGAAGAACCGGAGAAGCCCACGAAGGAAAAAGACGAAGAGGACATGGAACTGACAGTAAGAAAAAAACTATTCAGTTATTGTCAGAGGGGAGAACCCCTAATCCACCTCTCCCATGGATATGGCTTAAGATTTAATAACTCTTGAGGTCAGCTTCCCACCAGGTACTTTCATTTAAGTATTGAGACCAGGTTATTACAAAAGTGTCCTCTCGGGGACCTCCCTGGCGGTCCAGTGGTTAAGACTCTGTGCTTCCAATGCAGGGGGCACAGGTTTGATCCCTGTTCGGGGAACTAATAAGGTCCCACATGCCTCATGGTGCAGCCAAGAAAAAATAAGTGTCCTCTCTGTGCACAAATAACGTAACTAAAGGGACTGATTCGAATCCTTCAGCCAGGTAAGCGGCACTCAACAACCCAATGAAATTCAGAAGCAAGACACCCTGAATTTTCCAAACAGGCGACACTTTATAAACAACAGGTGATGTGGCAGTCTTAGCACACGAAGAAGGAAAGGGAATCTGATTTGGGAGCAGCTGGCTCCACTGAGCTGGAGCCGTTGTGCTGATCAGAAGCTAAGCCTTTATCTGTCTTCGAGGTCAGGCTCACAAATACAGCACTAATTGAATTTTGGGGTTTGTATGGAAGGCTTTTATTAGCTCTTCCTGGTATAATTATAGAGCATGGATGGTTTGTTCTGTAGGGGGAATGGGGCAGCTGGGCATGGGACAGCTTCCTGCAACCCCTGCTGGAGCAGCATGACTACCACTGGATTGTATCCAAAGTCTAAAAACATCACATGCTATTAAAGGGACAAACAAGGCTTCAGAGCTTTGGAGACATAAGGCAACAGCTCCACAGGACTTCCTGGATACCCCCCACCCTCCCCACCACCCTGACCAATTACTGTGACGAGCCAGAAGAAGCTGTTTGGGGAAAAAACAAAAATTGGTTTTGCTCAGGTGACAAAAGGCCTTGGCATTATTATCCTAAGTGGGACCACCCTGCGAATTGATTTTCCTCCAGATAAACACTATTTCCTTCAGTAGGTCCTTCCTAAAGATCTATTTGCAGGCACATTCCCAGACCCAAGTACAACAGGGGCTATGCATCGGGCCACTCTTTGGATTGATTAATCATTCACTGCTTTTGACTCACTGAGTTCAAGTCCTATGTTTGCTTTCAGTTTCAGGATCCTTATATAAATTAGTGGAGGAGTCTGCTTTCCTCTATGACAGGATCAAATGACTGTCTTGCCTAAAGAACTTACCATAATTTTGGCCTCTGAACCCCTTCAAGGATAGGAAATGATATTTTGATCATTAGCAGAAACATTGGTAGTAGTAATACCAAATCTTCATTGAATGCTTCAGCAGAGGGGTAAAGAGTGTGCGCTCTGGAGCCAGAATCCTGCCCTGTCACCTACTCACTGTGGGACCTTGGGCACAGTTTCTTAATCTCTAACATGGGAATAATGACATTATTATTATTACTAGCTCACAGGTACATGTAAACTATGTAACAAGTGTGCATGTAACTAATGTAGACTGGTGCCTAGCACATGGTAGATGTTTGCTAATATTGCTATAATGGTGCTAAATGCTTAACCATACACTTACTCATGGAATCCTCACAACAAGCCCACAAGGTAGGTACTATTGTTATACCATTTTATAGATGAGGAAGCTGAGGCTCAAGAGAGGTTAAATGGTCCAAGGTTACCCACCTAATTAGTTGCAAAGCCAGGATTAGAACCCAGGCATGCAGACTCCACTGGCCATGCTTTTACCTGATAAAGCTAAGGGATGCAAAGAATTTCTTCCTAGTCTCAAATGTAGGAGCTCAGCTGGTTTGGTCCACCACGTAGTAGAAAGAATCCAGTAGGGACGCATGGGCCTCCTGTGTCAAGTATGACATGGCCTTGACATTGGTGTACATCCTAGGAAGGCTCAAAGAAGGAACCTAGGAAGGTAGCCAGAAGCTAAAGCAGTATCTTTCTGGTGGGTCTGAAGGAAGATAACAAAAGAGGCAGCTGCCTCTCCTGCTCAGTCCAGAGTTTTGAGGATCTGATCTTTCAAGAAGCCACAATAAAAGATGCATCTCTGGACTAAGAGCAGTCTACTTCCCAAATAGCCCCCGCCGTTGTCTACTGAGAACCCAAGTAGAAGACACCACAACAGCGTTACTGCCTGAGCTGATTCTCCACAGGCTGAAACAGCAGGGAGAAGGAAAGGAAGGAAAGGACTTATGGGCTGGCAAAGTCAGGGTTGGACAGCACTTGTTTTTAAGGTGGCACTTTCTTTCACCCTAATGACAAATTCTGTTACTGCTGGACCACTGGTCTCAGCTCACCCCAGACAGGATTGGAGAATACAGCTTGTTGACAACTCCACTCCCTTCATAGCATTGATATTTGAGCTTCTGTGTTAAACCAATATATCCTCTCTTGGAATGGAACATTTTCCCTTGGCCCTTCCAAAATTATACATGGAATATCAGCTTCAGTTTGCTTCACTTTAGTAGCCTTTAATAGCTTAGTTCACCTCAAAGGATCTTTCCCAGACTTGACATCTGTGTCTAGCCAGCAAAGATTCTGAAATCCATATCGTGCAGTCATGTCTGTATTTGACCCTGTTACAATCTGCTTTAAGAAATCTAGGCTAAGGAAATGTTTGACTACTGGGAAAAGAAATCAACAAAATCAGCAAGTTACGCTGCTTAAGCTGGAATTAATGAAATGTCGAAAATGCTTTACTTAAACCATGAAAGACAAGCCTCTTAAAAATGCACTCACTTTGAAATATTTTTGAACAATAAAGGCAAAATAGATTGTTCTGTTTTTCACTTTGTTTTACCTGCCTTGCTAGGTAAGTGTCTTGAATTTTTCCTAATAAAGCCTCAACACATCCACGGACCCAGGGCATTGTTACAACTCTGTTGGGAAAGCCACCGTCCCTAGAGGTTACCCCAAGATGCAATTCTCCAAGATGCCTAAAACCCTCCAAGCTGCCTTTACTCTCATCTAATTGTGTACCCAAATGGTCTTGTATTATTGAGCATATAAATAAGCAGAATAGAAGTAGGATAATTATGTTACATATATTATAAATTATAGAAGAGAAATATCATGTAACTTCAGAGTTTCCTGAGGTCGATGATCGATATTTATAGAACCCTATTGCTGTCTAGTGTGCTATATCCATCACAAAGATTGACTCAGCTCACTGATCAAAATAAATTCTTAGATGGGCCATAGTATGGAATCTTACCTATTCATTAGTTCAAGGTACTTTTCCAGCCAGAGAGTCCATAAAGGAATGGAAGTTACCCTTTCCCGAAATCCTATGGTTACAGGTAAATCATTTGTTGATTGTTACATATTTGAGTAAAGTGGATATTTGAGGCAATGACAAAAATAGTTGAAACTAATATATCTATATTGTGGGTAAGGTAGTTTGAAACCAGAATTATCTAGTTGTTGTCTCTGTTATCAACTTCAAGGTAAATTATTTTGGTAATTAGATCTGCAACTTTAAACCCATATTCCTATACTTTTTCTTCTCCCAAATTCTTATCTGTCTTCAGTAGTTATAAGGTTTTACCCTGTTCTCACACTTAATAAAAATTTCATTTCCCAAACATTGTAGAACGAACCTTGCTTAGAACAATATGGAAAGAATTAAAGCCAAGAAATTGTGCTGTAATAGGTGCCTAATATCATACTTTTTTTTTCTTGTGAGAGATCCCAACTAGATCATTTCAGTCACGAGTACCCGAGAAGGTCTTAGTTCACTTTAAAGACCAGCTAATCTTTACCGAGCACTTATTACGTTCCAGATGCCGATTGATTTGTAAACCTACCCTCTATCAGGTGCTATTACTACCCTTATTTTACAGTTAAAGAAACTAAGTCTCAGAGAGGTTAAAAGAGTTGCCCAAGGTGCCACAGATTCTAAGTGTCCAGGGTAGGACCCAGTCCTTTTCTGTGTCCGCTTTTTCTCAAGTTCTGCCTTTTTTGTGATGTTTAATTGTTGTTGCCGCTTCTCCTGTCAGAAATGAGGAGGAAATAGTGAATTCTTAAGGAGACTTGTAATAACTTGGGAGATTAGGGCCTTTTCTGGTCAGCCCTGACTTCCAGTCCCATCTGGTTGACTCTGCCACGCAGAGGAAGGCAGTGTGCCCAGGAATCACCAAACTAGCACCAGCAGTAATTCAGGCTTTACAGGGTTTGAAATCAGGGAACCGAGGCATATGCCTAGGAGTTGGGTAGACATTCATAAGTTCAGGCACTACAGATAACTTAACCTCTTGAATATTCAACACCTTCGGATAAATAAGGTATTACTAGTCCAATTTACCCTTGACTTAAGAGTCGTTAGCATGAGTAGAGAACCCAGACCTGCCTGTTTCATGATACATAAAGGGAGAGAGGGGTTGGGAGGAATGATAGATTCCTGGCCTTTCCAGGTTACGCTCTTTCTGTCTCTCAGAACTCTGGGTATCTTCCAACAGCTCATCTTCCAGAGGTTCCAGGCTGGAAGAGAAGAGAATGGTCAAGAAGTATCCCTAAGGCCTTCCATCCCAGGGAAAGGATACATAGATTCTATGTATAATGCAAATGCACACTTAGGGAAGGCACAATCTCTAAATCTCTGGGGGCCCTGAACAAAGCTGTTAGGTTCTATGAACACACTTTCCCCATCTATAAAATGAGATACATGTTGAAACATGTTCTGCAGAACCCTGCTGTGATGGTATTGGTTCTCTTCCACTGTAGGCAATGTTGGGACGAAACAACGGGGAGTCCTCCAGGAAGAAGGATGAAGAGGAAGTTCAGAGCAGACACCGGTTAATCCCCCTGGGCAGAAAAATCTATGAATTCTACAATGCACCCATTGTGAAGTTCTGGTTCTACACTGTAAGCATCTTTCCTTTTCTCCTTTTATTAAAGGAGAAAAGGCCACGAAGAGTCAATGTCAGTTTCTCACACACCTGGGTGGTTTCTTCTACAAGTCATTATATAAAGACCATACAGGCAGGAATAATGGCTCTGTGACCTTGCTTTTTCCTGTAGCTTTGCAAGATTTGTGGAGTCTGTGAGGCAGCTTCCACAGCTTCTACATTTCTCCTCCTTGCAGAAAAGAAAGGAAATGGTAAAAGTGAGAACTAGCAGAATAGAGGTGAGATGAATATGAGTCTAGTCTAGAAGGGAAGTAGAGGTCCTTCTACAAAACGCTTCCCTTTTCTGGATGGATGAGCAATGGATCAGAGTTGCCCATTTTAGACACCAGCCCTGGGTTTGGGGGGACATTTGGTGGGTAAGGGCTGAGCAGAGTGTTAAAAGGAAAACCACTAAAGATGGGGATCAGAAGTGTGTAATTACTCCCAATCCGGTATGTCATCAAACAACCTTTCTTCCTCTGACACCGTTAAACAACATGCAAACCAAAGCAGCAAAAAACATGCAAAGCAACCTACAATCACAGCAAATACTGTCCAGTAAGCACACCCTGCAAATATTTTCTGCCCACAAGATAAAAGATTATCCCTGAAATAGCCTCCTCATATGGGAGAAATGGCCCGTCTGCCCCTGTTTTTCATGATGTTTTAAGCTTAAGGTGAGCTTTGACCCAGGTCGTCTCTGCTGCTCTCCAGCCAACGGTGGAGCTGTGCCAGATGAAAGATAGTGCATCTGTATTTTTGGCCTTTTTCACAACCAGCTCCACACCAGTCACTTGAGTCAGCAACAGGATAATCTGAGTCTGAGGCCGAGATGACGCAAATGACCAGATGAGGTCCTTTTTGTGTGGTCCTGTATGCTAACACTCAACGCTGGCTTTAAGCCAGGCTTTCCCAGCCTCTGCACGATTGACATGTGGGGCGGAATAATTCTTTGTTGAGGAGGGCTGTCCATGCGCAGCAGCATCCCCGGCCTCTGTCCACTAGATGCCAGTAGCAGTCTCCAGCCCCCAAGTAGGAAACCAAAATGTCTCCAGACATTGCCAAATGTCTCCTTGTGGGGTAAAACTGCCACAAGTTGAAAACCAATACTTTAAAGTTTGGTCTTCAAAGAGGATGGGAAATTATTAAAATACAAATATGATCTTTTTAGTGAAGTAAAAATTTAAAGTTTAAATTTATTAGCATTAAAAAAAATCCTTCCCCCCTCCCCAAAAAAATAACTAAGGCATGCAGAAATCATTTCTATTTATCTATTGCATGCAGATATACACTATTTTTACCTTGCAGAAAACAACAGAGTGGTGGCAAGCATGGACTTTGCAGTCAGACAGCCTGAGTAGAAATCCTGTCTGGGCCTCTTTATTATTGTGTCATCTTAAGCAAGTTACTTTAGCACTACGTTCCCAGTTTTCTTAAGATGGGGATAGTAATAGTACCGACTTTATAAGGTTTGGTAAAGATTAACTGTGTTAAAATATGTAAAGCACTTAGAACAGGGCCTGGAACACGTAAGCACAATATAAATGTAACTTGTTATTCCTAGGCTGGTCCCATTGCAGAGCAAAGGTCAGTGTTTTATTCATCCACCCAGGCAACAATGATAAACTATCATTTATTGAATACCTACCTTTCTCTTATATTAGACTGCTTTAATTGTCTAGGACAGAGCGTGGCAAACTACAGCTAACAGGCCAGACCCAGCCCACTGCCCATTATTGTGGCCCGTGAGCTAAGAATGTTTTTTACATTTTTAAAGAGTTGAAATAAAATCTACTGAAGACTAATTTGTGACACATGAAAATTACATGAAATTCACATGTAATTCATGTGTCCATAAAAAAGTTTTCCTGGAATACAGCCAAACTCATTCATTTACCTATAGTGTGGGTGCTTTTGTGCTACAACTGTTGAGTTGATTACTTGCGATAGAGACCATCTGGCCCACAAAGCCTTAAAAATTATCTGGTCCTTTACAGAAAATGTTTACAGACTCCTGATCTAGAGCATGAAAGAAACCAGTAGTAGTATCAAGAATTATCTATCACCTTTACAAATAGAATACTAGCATCTCTTACCCTTCCAAGGCATCTCTTTTTTTCTTTGTCTGAGTTCAGTATTAATTTTACTTCCTTGATTCCTCTAGTCCCCATTTACTCAGCTGAGGCAATTTGTTAGCCCAGAATGTTTTTAAATCACAGATGCCTTGCCAGTGGTTCTGAGCCTTGGCTACGCATTAGAATCACCTGGAGTGCTTAAAAAAAAACAAACCTGAGTTCTATTTAATCGATACGTTTATCTACTTAAAAAGATGCCTGGGTTCTTTTCCTGGAGATTCTGTTGACATTGTTCTGGGGCACAGCCAGGACATCAGGATATTTCAAAGCTCCCAAGTGGTTGTAATGAGTAGCCAGGGATGAGAACCACTGCCCTAGACAAAGGGCTGAGTTTTCAGCCTGGTATTTCCAAAACTTCCATGATGATAAGGGATTGTGTTAGAAATGCAAATTCCTGGCCCTATCACAGACCCACTAAATGAAATCTCCAGGGAGGAGCCCGAGCGGTTGTGTTTAACAAGCTTCCCAGGTGAGTCTTGTGGTCTGGGAAGCTTGGGGCATACTGCTTTTCTTGTACCATATACTGCAGGTTGTAAGGCTGTCCCTTTGAGAAGTGGGGCCCACGTGTCCAGCTCCCTTCTGTATGGCTGACTGGTTACCCTCCACAAACCCATCAGACTGGATGCTCCAGTCATGTCTGATTGTGTTTCCACAATGATTTTCAGAAATCCATATGTATTGACAAAGCCTCAAAGAAGTAAATGGAGATGCGGAGTGTCAATCTTTAAAGTCCCCAGAGATGCTTAACAGTAAAATGCAGCTTTAGATCAAAGGGCCCATTTGCTTTTGGTTGTGTGTTTTTCTGTAAGAGTAGTTCCCAACTTGATTTCCCAAAGTGTCCCCTTCTACACTCCCAAGGTTCTGAAAGGTAGGACACACCTCACTTCCACATAACCTCACTTCCATGTCTTAGCAAGTTTCCAGAGGAGCAGGTTGAGTCCTCTTCTGTTCCAAGAATAAAGGAGGCAGGGATCCAACTGGCTCCCAGACCAGTTTGTGGTGAGGGCCTGTTTCAAGTGCCCAGCTGGAGAGGATGCCAGTTCAAGGTGCAAAGTGGTGCCAGGTCAGAGGGCACCGGGTGTGCTCTGGGCTTCTCCAGCAGGAACAGACTCCTTCCTCTGCTAACACGATGGGCCCCTCCACGCTCTAGTGGCAGTAGGAAAAGGCCTGGGAAGAAGCGGGGATGGCCAGGCCCCACCAGGGATCCCCAGGCAGCTTCAGCAGGCTTTGGTGCTCGCATTTCATACTTTAGGAGTCAGGCACCTTGGTTAATGGTAAATTTATAAAAATATATAAGCAAATAAAATACAAATTCTTATAGGATTCCCACTAACTTAAGAATCACAAGGTTCTGTTTCTTTTCGAAGCTATGGCATTCTACACACAGCTTGTTAAAGCTTACAGAATATATATGTGTGTGTATATGTGACTATATATTCACACACACACACACACATTAAAGCATGTCATGTTAGGGTTATCTGCAGCAAGGCCCCATGAATGTTAGCGAGTTCTAAGATAGGTTTCTTCCAAGGCAGCATCCAATCCTCTGTTGTACCACTGAAACATGTTTAAAGCCCTATTTTTGGAAGTCCGTATTTTGAGAGTTGTCCCAAAATATTATATTGTAGCTTGTTTATGGAAAGAAAAGCATTGTAGAGTAACTGATTTAAAAAATAGGCAGGAGCTAAAAAGGATGTTCGTGGAGGAGGCATAAGCAATGAGGTCAATTTAAAAAAGAAAAAAGAAGATGAGAGGTATGAGTAGTTAAGGGGGGTAAAAAAGGAAGGAAGGACTGAGGTAAGAGGAAGCGAGAGGCATAGAAGTTTCTTGAAAAAAGAGGTGTATAATAATATCAGTCACCATTCATTGGGCCTCTATACTGTATCAGGAGGTAGATGCATATTCCCCTCCCCCATCCTTCTGAAAGCTCTACAGGGTCGGTAGCAAACATCTCCATTTCACAGAAGGGAGGCCCAGGCAGGCGAAGTGATTTTACACAAAAAGATACAGCTGGGATGTACTTGAGCCAGGATTTAAATCCAAGTTTCACTGACTTTGCGTCTACATTCCTTCTACCAACACTAGTCCTTCTGCCAAACAAGTATATTAGACCTGTGTTCAGAGGAGAGAGGCAGATTGAAGGGGTTATTTAAGTACTGAAATGAAGAGGTTCTGGAAGAGTTGTGTGTGTGTCACTGGGCCTACCTGTGACAAGAGAAGATAATGCTTTGGAATGTTTTGTAATGAACTGAGTAAAATGACAAAACCTGGGCAGTTAACAAGGCCCACTGGAAGCAGTGGAATTTGGTCCAACAAAGAGAAGGAAGCAACTAGAAAGAGAGAAGGATTTCAGGTCAGAAGGAGGCTAAGAGCATATTTCACCGTTTATCCACTGAAGTCCTTTCCTTGTGTTTTGTAAAATACAGAACTCACAGGGACTAGAGAGTGGATGCCAGTGTATAATGGTAAACAGGAACCATATGAAACGATTTACACTCTAAACACCATCCTACACGCTTTCACATTGAGTAGACTCTTTTCAGGTGAGGTTTTTCACAACATGCTAATGATCCCGAAGAGGGTGGGGTAGGAACTGAGGCATGGTTATAAATGGTGGTCCTTGGGCGGGGCGTATACCAAAGTGAATCTCTCAGGATGGGGAGGAGGTCTGCTGATCCTCCAGCATCTATGCAGCTGCCGTCTCACTTTCATACGTGATCTCAATTCAACTCTGATATATGCCCACCCTTCAAGAGATGAAAAGTTATATCTCTGTGTCTATAAATCCATCAGTGTAATAGTGTCTCAGAAAGTACCTTTGACTCATATTAAGGACCTATGTATTCATTTATTTTTTAAATGAGAAGGGGGAAAAAAAGGAAAAGGGAAGAAATAAGAAAAAGAAGAAAAAAAGAAAAGGGGGGAGGATAAAAAGGAAAAGGGGGGAGAAAAAAGAAAAGGGGGATAAAAAAGAAGGAAAGGGAGGAAAAAAGAAAAGGGGGGAGAAAAGGAAGAAAAAAGGAAAGGGAGGAAAAAAGGAAAAGGGGAGGGTAAAAAGAAAGGGGGAGGATAAAAAAAGGAAAAGGGAATAAAACAGGAAGAAAAAGAGAAGAAAAGAAAAAGGGATTTAAAAAACAGGAAGAAAAAGAAAAGGGGAGAGAAAAAGAAAAGAAGGGGAAAAAGGAAAAAAAGCAGAAGAAAAAAGAAAAAGGGAAGGAAAGAGGTCCGTTAGTAGAGAAAGCAGTGTTTCTCTAGCTCTGCAGGGCCACCCGTTCCCCTGTCTCCCAGCCAGGCTGCATCTTTCTCCACCTTCTAAGCTGCCTCCAGGGCTCCAGAATCATGCTGTATCTCCAAAATTCTCAAGGTCTCAATCCTTTTGCCCACACCATATCCTGTTCTTTGCTACCTAAGCTCCAAAGAGTGCCGATTTCAATAAATTCACTCTTAGCTCCTATTCACAGCCCCTGAGGCCCCTAAAGGCAGCAAGTACCTTACTCGGCCTGAAGCCTTGCCTAGAAAAGGCTTAACTTCTATGCCATTGCCCCTAGGATGAGTTTTTTTCTCCAGAGGCTCCTCAGCCCCTTATGTAAGAACCTCACTAGCCCTCCTATACTCCACTCATCTAGACGTACCTGAGTTGTCCAGTGGCATTCACCAAACCTGAACCCTGAGGAGTTTTCCTGGGACATCCAGCAACTCAGCTAGTTCCATCAGGGCTCAACCTGCAGTGCTAGTGCCTCCTGAGGATTAAACCTTACTCCAAGCCACAGTCGGCCTTACAGACTCATTCTTTCCTATAAATTGCTTGTCTTCTCTTGTTTTGTTCAAAGAAGCAGAAACCAGGAAGGAATATCCCAGCTTGGATAGGGCAGGAAAGTAGTGCCTGGGATAAGAGGTAAAACCTTCCCAGGGTACCGCCAAACCAAGCACATTAAGATAGGAGAAAAAAGAAGACATTAACATAGAAGAGAATTAAAGTGGGGCTCCAAGAAATTCCGGGCTATTATTTATGTTGGTTTGACCAATTTACACGTATAGCATGTGTCTGCCTTTTAATCTATCTGGCATTCATTAGGCAAAAATTCACTGTGCTGTCCTAGTTCAAGGACCCAAAGCTCATGCATGAGCAAGAGCAGCCCCTGAGAAAAGAGGTTCCATTTTTAGCCAAGAAAATACGAGAAACAGGGAATTGCAAAACAAAATGGTGCATCATGACACATAGGTACGAGCAAAGTACTGGGACGCAGAGACACGCAAGGATCAAAAGGAAGATTGTATATCAAATTATTTCAAAATCACAGTCTTTTAAACTTCTTTTGATCGTTTAGAGCCTAGAAGTTCATTTCGTCGTGAATTCCTAGTCCTGCTTGCTGACCTTGTTGTGTCCTGACTCACAGTGGCCTGGCGCAAGGGCAGGGCTCCCAGGTCTTCGCAGCCAGAGCACTGTATTGTGTTTCCTTACAGCTGGCGTACATCGGATACTTGATGCTCTTCAACTATATCGTGTTAGTGAAGATGGAGCGCTGGCCTTCCACCCAGGAATGGATCGTCATTTCCTATATTTTCACCCTGGGAATAGAAAAGATGAGAGAGGTAACTGCTTTCATAAAAGAGAACAGAGGAGAAAGACAGTGGTTAGTTACATCTGTGGATAGAGGGGATCATGGAACACTCGGGATCCAAGTTAAGCCAGAAACTATTTCTCTAACACTGCCACAGAAATAAAGGACTTGGCTTCCACAGCTGCTGACAGACCTGGGAGGCTTCAGTGTGTGTTTATAGGTTGTCAGTCCATGCATGTTTGGGATCTAGTCTGTTTTCTGCTAGAGTTATCTCTTACCCCAAGAAACCCTCCAGTTGTCTTCAACACTGTTTACACCTCTCTTTCCTCGTCCTGATAAACATGACTTTAAAATTTTTTCTACTTTAAGAAAGTTTTTTTTAATCTTTAAATTTTCCACTTTTAACTCCCATTGCAACCCCTTACTCTGTGTCTCTTTGGACACAGTCCACCAATACCTATGATTCTGCAAATGCATTTCAGCAGCTCTAGGAGGAACTATGCTTTCATTCATTAATTTATTCCCTGGTTTATTCCTTCTCAACATTTATTATGTCCCTGCTGGGCACCAGCCTCTCTACCAGCCCTAAGTGAATTGAGCATATTTCTTGTCCTTCAGGTTGAGGATGTGGGTCCCTCTCTTCTCCCCCCAACGCCATCGCATAAAAGGAGCCATCAAAATGCCACCCTCCTGTGACTTGAAGTCAAAGCTAGCCTCGGGTCATCAGATTCAGAGCCATTAGAATAAATGTAGTCAAGCAATAATCCACCAGAGGGCTCTGCAACCCTGCCCAACAAGCTCCCAAAGCCCATTCCCAAGCCCACAGGGGAGGCAGGCTTGTAAGTTATAATGATTCCTCTGCATTTCTTACTCCCTGTCAAGTCCACTGCATTCTCGAGAGCTCTGGAACAACCCTACTTGCTGTACTACAGTGAGTAGGAAAATATATTGAGCTCCATAGAAAAAAGGATTCCTACAAACCCACAAATTCACCCTTGCCTTCATTACTAAGGTTAAAAGGGCCTTACTCTCTTAGGGCTTAGCTCTAGAATGTTCTCCTCCAGAGAAAAAGTGGGATCATTTTTTTTAAAAAAGCAAACATGTATAAATATTTAGAGCCCTTCCTTGGGTTTTTTTAACTGCTTTGGGGGTATTTAAATTCTAACCAGCATGCCCCTATCCTGAGAGTACCATTTTATAAGGGACTGGATTTTTTTTTTTTTTTAAGTGGCTGCCTTTGCCTCATTCCAACTAGTTGTCTACTCTTAGGCTTTCCCATTCATAATGTCTTCCACTTCCTGACCACTGTTGTGCATTTCCCATTTGTAAACTGAAAACAGTAATAAATTCGCTTTGGTCTTTGTGTAGCTCTCTGAGAACTGAGGCCGCAACTGCTGAGGGCTCTGTTGCTGTGCAGCGCCAGCTCACTGGCTTTGTGATTTAAAGCCCAGATGCCTATTCCTTCCCCAGGACAAGCAGAAAAGGGAGAGACTTGAGCAGGGAGACTGGAATCTCTCCAGGGACTAGACTGGAAGAAGACAGGGAGCAGTCTGTACTCCACGGACTGTTCTGGAAGAGGCTGCCAAGCCGGCGGGCTGCCAGGAATCTCCAGGCTGGCTATCCATTTCTCCTGAGGCGGCATATAACAGCGGGGAGAGCAGGCTTTGGAGCCTGGGGTCAGCGGGGGGTCAACCAAGAGTCCTTGTTTCCGAGGAAGCAGTGGGGCGGGAGGCACTGACCACCTAAGTATCTGACCTTCCCTTCGGCCCAATGAGGTTGCGCCCTGGCCCCTCACCCCACGTCCCTGAACCCATTAAGGACATGCTCAGGCGCCGAGCGTCCCGCCTGGTGCCTCCTCACAGCACGCGGGCCCTCCAGACCTCAGACGCAGGAGCCTGGAAACAGGGGAAAGTCTGTAGGCTTCCGCGCCTCCGGGGACATAGGCGGGCGCTGTGGTTTCTCCCGGGGCCCGCCCCTTCCGGCATACGTACTTCTGCGCGCAGTCAGCCAAACAAGCCCGGTCATCACGTGATAGCGCGTAACTGCCCCCGGCTGCGGGTAGGCAGCTTCTCACGTGGGGCCTCCTCCCCGCGACTCGTGAGGGAGGTGGCGCGCTGTGAAGACATCTCCACTGCACAGGTATGGGAACCAAGACCCAGGAGGGATTGAGCAATTTTTCTGCGTCCCACAGCTAGAGAGGAGAGCTGGGTCTTAAACCCGACTGACCCGGCCCTAGGCCCACGGCTCTTTCCACTCCCCGCGAGGTTGCAAACTGAGACGCTCCCCGGATCCTTGGGATCCTAAGAGAGACCTCACCCCAGCCACTCTGCTTTTATCTCTTTTTACGTTGAGATTTCAGAAAAATACTTTAACTATTTAAAATACATATACATATATACTATAAACCTTAGGCGAGTGTGGGCAAAGGGTTAGAGAAACTCTAAGGCATTCCCCACCTCAGCACGTACGCTTGTGCACAGACAGGTTTTTTCCCCTAGTTAAGGTGGAGCCTGGGTGGGAAGCCATCAGGACAATAGCTGCTGCAGGAATTCTTCATGGGTAGGACAGTGGCTCCCAACCTGTGGTCACCAGCATGACCTGGGAGCTTTTAGAAATGTAAATCCTCAAGCCCCACACAGGCATACTGAAGCAGAAACTCCAGGGGTGGGGCCCAGGCAACTGTGTTTTCACCAGCCCTCCAGGTGATTCCGATGCATGCTAAGGGCTAGGGTTTAGGAATGAGGCACTAGAGGATGAAGAATGAGGCTGCCACGTGGCTCCTGGTATCTTGCTCAGCCTTCCAAGCCCCAGTCCTGACTCACTAAAACCTCCCTTCCTTAATGTTTCAGGCCAAGGCAAGCTATTAAAGGCACCGTGAGGATTCAAATAAATAGCTGTAGATTAGACCTGGCCCCAGTCTTTGCACTCCTCTCCTTTGAGAGGTCCTGAGTCGGGAAAGGGGTGTGTCATGGCTTCAAGAGGTGGAAGTCTCAGAGGCAAACACAGTGATTCGTGAAGGTAGCCCTACTGTATAGCCTCACCAGGTTCCTAACATCCTGTGGTGCAGAATGGGTGTCAACTCCTGCTATCCAACTGTTCATTTCATAGAGTGTGGAGCAGCAAAAAGCCCCTCTAGATTTAAGATAATTCAGAATACCACCCAGCAGTTAAGATATACAAGGGAGTGGGGAATTGCTATGAGGTGTCTCTGCAACAATCAGTCAACACATATTTCTTGAGTGTCTGTTATGTAGCAGGGCCTGGGAAACAAAGGGTCTGTCCTCAAAGTTTACAGTTATGGATGAGAGGAGAGATGGATGGATGTTGAGAGGGATGCATGGATAGAAGATAGCTAGCTAGCTAGACTGGCATGCGTACGTGTACGCACACGTATACATGCATGCAGAAGATTCCCGTATAGTGATAAAAATCTTCAAAAAATAGAGTAGGATAATGTATTAGTGGCTTGGGCGTGTGGAGACCACTGCAGGGAGGTGGTCAAGGAAGTTCTTCCTAAGAAGGGGAAATTTGAGTGGAGACCTTGAGTATAAGGAGAACCCAGACATGTAAAAATCTGGGAGAAGAAAATGCCCAACAAAAGGAACAAGTGCAAATGTCCTGAGTATGGAATGGATTTGTTATGCTTAAGAGCAAACCACTATGGCCTCAGGGTAGTGAACGGGGAGGATATGGTGGGACATGAAATGAGGCCACTGTAAGGAGTTTGGATCTTTCTGTATTCGTAATGGAAGCAATCAGAAGGCTTAAATATTCAGTTATCACAATTTGCTTTAGTTTTGCTGTTGTTCATATGTCTCTCAAGTCTCTCTCTTTTTTAAATTGAGGTATAATTCACCAGTAAGAAAACGAACAACTCATAAGGGTACAGCTTGATGAGTTTTTACCTACCCATACAACTGTGTAATCACCACCCAGCTCACGGCTTAGGCTTTTAAAGGTCTTTCTGTGTGCTGCTCAGAGAATACATTGAGGCTGGTCAGGCAACGGTGGTGGCAGGGATACCAGTTAGAAGGCTGTTGCAATCATCTGGGCAATGTAATGGGGCTTAGGATAGAGTGGCAACAGTGAAGGTGGTGAGAAGTGGTTGGACTAGGTCGTATTTGGAAATATAGGTAATAGGACATGTTGATGCAGAGGATATGGGTATGAAAGAGGAATGAAGGAGTCCTCCTAAGTTAGTGGCCTGAGTAGCTCAATATGGTGATACCGTTTACTGAGATGAAGGAGGATTTTGGAGATTTGCAGGGTATTAGGAATCAATAATTTTATAGCAAAACCCTAATGCGTGTCTTAGAATTGTAAGGCATCCCAAAGGAACAAACTTAATTGCTTATATACAACTGAGCTAAGCTTAGGCCATCCAGATGAGTAGATACAGGTAGACAAAACAAGCTACTGATATCAGCTAACAGACCAAGCACTTTGCAACTGGGCTGAAAATATAGACAGAAATCAAACCTAACCCCACTCTCTTTCCTGACTTTTAGATTTTGATGTCAGAGCCAGGGAAATTGCTACAAAAAGTAAAGGTGTGGCTGCAAGAGTACTGGAATGTCACAGACCTCATAGCCATCCTTCTGTTCTCTGTTGGAATGATCCTTCGTCTCCAAGACCAGCCCTTCAGGAGTGACGGGAGGGTCATCTATTGTGTGAACATCATTTATTGGTACATTCGTCTATTAGACATCTTCGGCGTGAACAAGTATTTGGGCCCATATGTAATGATGATTGGAAAAATGGTAAGCAGGGTCCTCTGATTCCATGTTATAAGTTCTCAGAGAAGGAGTGGTTATCATAGGAAGAGAGAAATAATTCATTTGGGTCTGCTGTCAATGTCTGAGATGGCCCTGAGGGTGTTTTATTTTTTAATTCCTTTTGAGTGTTCAGAAGTTTGATTACATCTATATATTATTAATACATAACTGGAGGATTAACTATCACTTACTCATTCACTTACTGACAAATATTTATAAACATCATCTATTTTGCGCCAGGCACCTGGGTAGGAGTTGGGTATATAAGGCACTCATTTAATAAGGTAGATGATGAGAGAAAGAGAGAAGTGATTACCATACAGTGTGAGAATGCTGTAACACAGTTGTGTATAAAATACCTCAGGAGCATAGAAGAGAGACGGTTGGTCAGGGAAGCCTTCACACAGAAGTTGCATTTTATATCGGAGAAGGTATGGATCTCCACTGTAAATTTTTAACAGATTCCTTTTTTCTTAATGAAGTTCTGGAAAAACATCTTTCCCTACACAGAGGGGAAAAAAACATAGTTTATTTGAGTTGAGTTAGGTTGAGTTTGAGTTGAACATTAAGTTCTGTCAATATTTTGTGTTTTGTTACATTACTGGAGAATGATATCTGTTGAAAACTAGGTTCCAGAATGATGCTCCTACTTATCTTATTCTTTTAAAAAAAGAATCCCAAGTGCCAAGTTAATACGCTTCCCACATATGGCTGTGGACTTGTTCCGGTATTCCTGGACCATACACTAGTTTCCAGACTTTCTCCATAAAGACTGAGCCCTCACGGGACAGCATCGGTGTAACCCTGGGAAATGCACAAGTAAATCAGCCCCCTCTCCAAACTTACTAGAGGAAGAATCAGAGTCTGATGCTCAGTGCTTTTTATCAGTTACCCCACTTTTCTAAGTGTGTCCCCTTACTTAACCTTTACAGGGCATATATGGAAAAGCCAAGTACATGCATTTTACTATGGCAAACAGCTCTTACTGAAAAATCTCATTCCTAATGTCCTCCACTCCACTCCCATTGTATCAGCTCTTGAAACAGTTGAACAGTTGGTCCACAGATATCCTTCATCATTCTCACTCAGGTTTTACTATTTACATCATTACTGCTTACCTTTCAGTCAGCAAATCAATATTTATTATTATTTTTTGTGTGTGTATATATGTAACTCTACTAAAATGAGTCTTAAATAACAAAAACTCTTCCTACAAAAGCACTGGCAAACTCATACGAAGAGAGGGAGACTTTGAATCTAAAAGGAAAGGGTTATAATACCTTGAGCAATTTATTAACCTCTTTGAGATGCAGTTTACTCATTTCCAAGTAGTAATAATAAATGCATATCTCTTCAGGTTGTGGTGATAGTTAGAAATAACACAGGTTAAGTGGTCAACAGTGTCTGGCTCACAGTAGGTAGTTGATAAATTATATCTGTTACCGTTGTTAAAGTACAATGGAAAAAGGAAAAATCAGTGAGCATACTTACTTGCTATATTCCTAATCCTTTTCTACAAAAGCTTGGTGTTTATAAAACCAGCATTGTTCAGGGAAAATATTACAAAGCCCACTCTAGAGTGGAAAAACTTGAATTCAATAAGCTTAAGTTACTTACCCAAAGCTGAATCCCAGTTCATTTGGGGGGTTTTTGAGTAGGAAACAAATGTGTATCTTACTGTATAACACTCTTACATCATCTTTGTACTTTAGTAATGAATTTGAGATGGTGGTGAAAATTTCCACATCTAAAAGCAGAGTCTCCACTTAGTCTATAGAAGAGGTTTAGGAGAGAGGATCTGTTGGCTTTCCACACAATTTATGTATAAAAATGTGTAGGTGTATGAATTTTCTGGACAGAGGGGACAGACATCTATGAGATTCTCAAATGTGAAATTCTCAAATATATTCTCAAATGGACCCAATGAAAGTGAAGAACTATAACAGCTGCAAAATTAAGCCAAGTTTTCTCATTCTTGACACTATTGCTCTCTTGGACTAGATAATTCTTCGTTGGGGGGCGGGGGACTGTCCTGTGCATCATAGGATGTTTAGCAGCATCCCTGGCCTCTACCCACTGGGTGCCAGTAACGTGTGTGCATGAGCGCGCGTGCACACACACACACACACACACAAACACTTACAACAACAAAAACATCTCCAGCTATTGCTGTATGTCCCCTGTGGAGCAAATTGCCCTCTGTAGAGAACCAGTACATTAGGTGAATACATTATCTGATTGGTTGTTTTTCTTAATTGATCATTACCTTATTTCAATAAATAAAATTGGGAAAGACCCAAACAAGCCAGATATATTAGTTTTAAGAGGTTGAGTCACATTTAAATCCTTGAAATAACTAGTCACACTAATGCAGTAAGATTATTTTCAAATTCATATCTATCTTTTTAATAATGGCATAATTATCCCCAGTTTTGATGAGAATGAAACCTTACCGTGGAGTGAGCAAAAGAGATTGTACTGCAGTTTTTCTACATTCTAACTTATTCTTGACTGATTAGTGAAGTCATTCATAAGTAGAAAATGAGTATATTTGGGGGCTTTGTTTGCTTTCATGGGGCTTTTAAGATAATTAGTTCAGTAATAGAGTCACCGATCCAGAAGGTAGGTAAACTATGCCTATGGAAATTATCAGTGAGCTGGATGGACTGCCAGGATGGAGGCTTAACAAAATATGCCCAGATGTGGTTATACCGAAAGCCCCCAACATTAGAGAGCCCCTGTTAAGTACTAAACAGCCAAGTAACTCACTGTGCCCTGTGGTCTAGGGACTGCAGGCTGCTAAAGTACCTGGACTCATACTGATCAAGTATGATTCCAATTAATCTTCAGATGCAGAATCACTTAATGGAATTCCAACCCCTTTTCTTCATATTCCACTTCTCAATGGGTCTCTAAGCCTAGCACTAAGCTCACTTATATAATGTGGAATAAAAACAACAATAATAGGTTTCATTTACTATGTGCCAAATACCATGTCAGACTTGTCAATCATCATTACAACCCCATGAAATAGGTTTTAGTATCTTCATTTCATAATTGAACAAACAAACTAGGCAAGGAACAAAGGAAGGATTCAGACTCCTATCTATCTGACTCCACAGCCTGACCTCCTTTCAATTCTAATAATAAACTTTTACTGAGAACTACCCACATTAAGTGTTTCACACATTATCTCATTTAATCCTTACAAAAATAATATGCATTATTATTATTTTCCCCACTTTACAAATAAACAAGACCAAGCAACGTGCCCAAGATCACCTAGTTGTTTTTACTATCAGAGTCAAGGTGAAAACTCAGGTATTCTGACACCTGAGGACACATACTTAACCGCTACAGTATATACTCTCCTCTATAGAAACCAACCAAAGGATATTTGAAAGAATGAGACACAATCAGCTCTCTTCATATTGAACCAATTGGACAATTTAGCTTTATTTATATTGAACCAATTGGACAATTTAGCTTTAAAAACAGAGGCGCAGTGGTTGAGAATCCGCCTGCCAATGCAGGGGACACGGGTTTGATCCCTGGTCCAGGAAGATCCCACATGCCGCGGAGCAACTAAGCCCGTGCACAACAACTACTGAGCCCGTGTGCTGCAACTACTGAAGCTCGCACACCTAGAGCCTGTGCTCCACGACAAGAGAAGCCACTGCAATGAGAAGCCCACGCATTGCAACGAAGAGTAGCCCCCGCTCACTGCAACTAGAAAAAGCCTGCACACAGCAATGAAGACCCAACACAGCCAAAAATAAATAAATTAAATAAGTAAATTAAAAAATAAGTAAAAAATAAAAATAGAGGTAGCCAGACCCAGTTCTCGCTAATAATGTCCTGTTTCTGCAGTTCACTCCAACAGATACCAGTTTTTGTATGGAAGCTAAGACTCTTTTGAAATGTATAAAGTTGAGTGTTTGGGAACAATGTTTCTTTGGTTGTTTTGACCCTTTGAATAGATATTACAATCAAGCTGAATGAAAACAGTCCTGAGAAATTAGAACAGTTGCTGTATTTACTGGCTGAGTTTTCTTGGGTCAGACTAGTTCCTAAGTCTCATAAGTATACACCTTCCTCTCCCCACCCACCTTTTCATCAGTCTAAATAAATATAACATGAAGGACCCATTTGTGTTTTCTCACTAATAGAACTTTTTGTAAATAAATGATGAAAGAATTTTATAAGAGAGAGAGAGGTTGAGAAATAGACCCACATTCCCTATAAAACTGTTTCAGCACAGCTGGCTTGTTTACTTTTAAGAGAGTTCTGAGGCCACTAAGTTGTGAAAAGAATAATTAACCAGCATATATTTTTAAGGACAGTGAACAAATACAAATGAACATCAAATTTTGAGAGATTCTTATTTAGTTTCAAAGTCAGACAATACTTGAGAGATTTTTAAGTTGCCTTGGAAGTTGATTAATTGGCCTAAAATGTATTGAGCCCCCAGTGTCCTAAGGCATACAGGAAGGCTGTAATGTTTTAATTCCAATAACTGGCACCATGACACGTATTCTTGCAAAATAAAATTTTTAAACTAATTTAAAGCCTTCATTACTATTGATAAAATTATCATCAGTCTTTCTTTGTGGATGGACATTCCTTCAGGAAATTTGGTATCCAAGGGAAGATAGTCTTTTGTATTAGGTGGTTTTATGTAAGGGATAGAAACCAATCTCCAACTAGCTTAAGCCCAGGAGGGGTAGATTGATTTACAGCAGGGCATGATGGAACTGGGCTTAAAAGCTACTGCAGCCAGGCCCCCAACTACCATCACAGCACACTCTTTCTCTCCGGAATAGCTGCTTCATTCACTCTGGTCAGTTTCTCTAGTGGGAGACTCAGCCTCAGACACTCTGAATTCACGTCATTACAGAGAGAGTAAGGGAGCTTCTCTCTCCTGCTTCAGTTAAAAAAAAAAAATCTGAAGAAGGAATTCTGGTTGGCATGTCTGTGTCACATGCCTACCTCCTGTCACTGTTGCCAGAGGGCAAGGTACCATGATTAACCCAGCCTGGAAAAGACACCTGCCTTTAGGACCAAAGTGGGTGGGAACTGTTTCTGAAAGAAGGAGGCAGTGGGTTCTGGCCAGGCAAAATAATAGTACATCCTCATCTACTTTCGGTGATAAAAGGAAAGTAATTTGGCATGTGAGAAACAGATCCCAGATAACATGTATCATGAAAACAAGCAAAAAAGAAAGGAATAAAGAGGAACAAGAGATAACATTGTACTTGAATGGAGTGGAGAATTTTATAAACATGTCGAGATGAAAATCCAACATTTCAGCAGCAAACACAGGAATGGGCCATTAGGCTACCTGATTCTAATGCCTACAAAAACACCCTCCATAACTGATAGGATGCACTGCAGAAGAAAGCACAGAAGAAGTGGTTCTCTGAGAGACTGGTTTGTGATAGAATAGCATGCAATGAGGGAGGGGCCACAAGAATAAGATGGTATAAGGTAGATATTTGGGTTGTCCTAGCCTTGTTAACAAATGATTATTTTCTTGAGCTTTTCAGCTCTCCATAAGCCTTTCAGAATTTAGGGAATTTACAGCATTGCAATAGTTGTTGAAATAGTTCAACTATCTCAATTCCAGTTTTGCTAAGAAGAAAGAGACCCAGCAAGGGCATTTGCCTTTCCCAGGAGCAGAAAAAAAGTTAGTACTGCATTAATATAAAGACTCAAGCCTCTGTGTTATATGACTCTCATGCCTAGTCTTGACTAGGTCCCACAGAAAACAATGGAAGATGGAGGGGTTCCACTGTGCATGTGCTTTCTTTTTTTAAAAAATGATTTTTAAGTTACTGACAAGCTTGTATAGACATTGGCTTCAATAGACCAAGTGTTCTCTTACCTGAACACAGCTCCCTATGTCAACATCCCTTATCAGCAGTCTCAAAAGTGCACCTCCTTCAAAGGTTTCCTTCAATGTCAGCACCACAGGAATACTCGGTCATTCTGGTTTTCTTTTGTTTCTCCCTCTGCTTTCCCACCCTTCCAGATGATAGACATGATGTACTTTGTCATCATTATGCTGGTGGTGCTGATGAGTTTTGGGGTCGCCAGGCAAGCCATCCTGTTTCCCAACGAGGAGCCATCATGGAAATTGGCCAAGAACATCTTCTACATGCCCTATTGGATGATTTATGGGGAAGTGTTTGCAGACCAGATAGACCGTAAGCAAGTTTATGATTCTCATACACCAAAGTCAGGTATTTAACTTCATTTGGGTCATATCTTTTCCAAGTTTATTTGTTTGTTTTCAATAAATGGCTCAAGACAGAGGACTGATTCCTAGCTTGCTATCTTGGAGGAAAAAAAAACAATTACAGAAGGTGAATATACAATTTTAGCAAAGTAGTCCTCGGGTGTTTTTTTCAGGTATGTCCTTTCTGTGACATCTGTTGTGCCAAATTTGATCAAGAATGAACCATTTAAAAAGGTCTAAATTCTTTGGGGATTCAAAATCCTAGGGCCATGTGTTGAATATTTCAATATTAGGAGTATATTATGTCACTACTCCCCACCCTACCCCAGCCCCCAGCCTTTAAAAAATAAATTCCTTGGGTTTGACTTCAGAACAAATAAACAATTCTCAATTTCGCCATCAGAATTCAAGAGGGCAAACATCTGCATGGTGTTTTCCTTGCACTGGAAACTATTCTCCAGCTCCTTTTCCCACTGTCTTAAATTATGTGCTATTGAGACTCAAAAGAAGCTAGTATTCATTGCCTGAAAGTATGGAAAATGCCTTAGGTTATAAAATGAGTTGCTTGCTTGTAAATGCCAGAAAAAAAAATAGTATCTATATCATGAAGTGATTCATTGTGAGGAGCGAGTGCCAGCAGGCCCCCGATGTTTCATGCCCTAATAGATGCTGATTCTCTGTAATAAACACCCTTCTTGTATAGAGTTTGAAGATAGTTGTGTCCTAGGAGTCTGTTCCAGCATTTTATTTGGATCAAATGTCAGGGCACACCAGGCACTGGGAAATTATTTGGGAAGAAAGCATCAGGAAAGAAATATCTTTCAGTGTGGAGGAGTTGAATCCCAGGAGCAACCATTTCTCATTTTCCCTGAGGAGTTTAGCTCTAGAAATAACATCCTTCCAACATTGTTGAATTAACATTTTTCTAACATTTTTTGCTGACAGGCCAGCCATCTGAGCTCTGGACTATGGACATGGATTAGGATTATATAACTAGGTAGTATAGCTTATTAAGAACAGGAACAGAAACTAGTCAGCATCTCCCCCGCCCCACCCCCTCCCCGCCAGTCCCAGGTAGGACTGAGACCAGGAAAGTAAGGACAAAGCACCAAAAAGTGTGAGTCCTACAGGCCTGTGAAGAGCATGTGTACACTGGCCGCAGAACACACCAGTCTCTCATTTTCCCTTCCATGACGGGTTTTGAACAAATACTCTTTCCTTCTCACAGTGAGTTATCTGAGGCAAGAAGGTTTTTTGGAACACCTAATTGGAACAAATACTCATTTCATGAGACTTAGCCATCTCACTGAGCAAGAATTTTAACTCCATCTCCCAGTTGGAATATCTTTGACAATGTGCAGCCTTCACCAAGACAGCTTTCCAGGGACTGGGGAAAACTCTTTTGAATTCCTTTTTTCAAATGGTCCCTAAAGGCAAAGCAACACTTAAAAAGCCCACCTATGATCATTCTCCTCAGAGATTAAATGTACTATTTTTCCCCAAGAAATTGCTTTTCCACTTACATTATTTTACTTTTTCTATCTTTCCTTTCTTTCCCCAAATGAAATTAAGCCCCTATGGGTCTTTTGACAGTGCAACATTTTGGGATGGGAGAAGGAGGGAGGTGTAGGTGTACTTTATGAGTGGGATTCTGTCCGTCCGTCTACAAGTGGCCATTTATTGATGTTGTACTGTGAACCCAGCCTAGTGCAACAAACACCACCATCTGGCTGAATCAGAGGTTCTATTATTGTTATTTTAAAAGAAGGGCTGATTGTAGTTTAGAACTTGAAAAAACCCTGGAGATGGAAGTGCAGTGTTCTGTGTGAGTGAAGTATGAATAGAGATTTCCCACATTGTTAATTAGATCTGTGGTGCTCTTTGTGTGTGAGAATAAATTTCTACCCCATATCCCACATATCTCAGTATGTAGCCAACTCAGCCTTGGATGGATGTAACCTTCATGACACCCTTCCCCCCGACCACTTACCTTCCTTTTTGATATTCTGAAATTGGCTGCAATGGTGGCCACTGTTCTAAGCTAAATCAGCCAGTTTTCTGTCTAGAGTGTTAAAGAGTATTTGTCCTTTCTCAAATGGGTATAGGACGCTGCCCCCAAACCTGTCATTACACTTGGCCAAAGTCATTGAACATCCCTGTCCTCTAAATGATTTGGTCTTCATGTCATGGCACTGAGTGGGCCAAAGGGGGGTTGGGTGATGGCCCTGCCCAGACGTTCAGAACTGCCCCGGAGACCCAAGTACCGAGCTATTTGAGAAAGGTACAAATCGTTTATGCTGCCCTGCGGTGTCTTGCCTCCTTTCTGTGCCGTGTGCAGGTTGGTTTGTGAAGCATGTGTTCAGGCTGATTGGATCTCATATCCCCCTGGACGCACAGCCCTGCCCAGGGTCCACCAGCCCCATCGTGTGGATGTGCCCAGTGGGGACTTCTCCAAGTGCTGCCCATCCTCGCACACCTTCTCAGAGCAGCTCATTGCTAACGTGACGCACACGCTCCATGTCTAACTCTTCTTGTTTTTAGCTGCAAAATTGTCAAACCCATTTCATGTTTGCAGAAATAATGTTTCTTAATTAAGATGAGTGTATATGGCTGTATAATGGGGCCCTGGGGTGGGTTATTAACATCTGTCTCACACCTCAGAAGGGAGGACAGCTTTAATGCCCTCACTTCTGGGAGGCAGTATTACCCAACTACAGATTTTTAATATACATTCCATTTTTTTCTTGTAGTTAGTCCTAAACCCAGAGACTATCAATAAGGCCAAAAAAGCTAGAATGAGACTTCTAAGGTTACTTTCCAAATGTGCTTAAAGACTAAAAGCAAAAGGAAAAAAGAAAAAAAAAAAAAGAATGTAAATTTACAAAATGACATATACTTTGACCTCTAAGCCAAGTTGGGTTAACACAAACGATAGTCCAGCCTTAATCTTAATTATCTGTAGAGGCTAAAACATTTGCGTTGGTGTTGGGAGCAGAAGTGAGTGCAAGAATGTGTTTGGAAACAGCAGATAATGAAACTCAGGAAGGAACAGTGATGATCTGCTCTTCTAGACACTTTGCCTAACACCCTGATTAATGGATGGGAATTGAACCTGCTGTCATTGTCTGATTGGTGGGTTTCTGGTTTTTGTTTTTTTCACATAGCCCAAAATAATCTCAGGTATTTATGTTATATATACTAGCTCTCTAAGACCCAATCTCTGGGCTACCGTGAGGGGACTTGGGCTCCAGGTTGCTAAAAGCATTGCTACCGAATGATGATATCCTTCTGGGCATCTCATTAAATGGCCCATGTTGCATGGCTTCTGAGAGCTGGTCAGGATCCCACTGGAGCCTGAGGGGAAAAAAGCCACTTCAGAGTAGAGGAACAGCAGAATAAATTTCCATCACATTCATGCCAAGGCGGGGGCAAAGCTAAAATTAGATGGATTTTCGCCAGCTGAGAAATCTGGTTCTACGTTTTTGTGTGTGAGGTGCTTGGAAGTTCACCTCTGTTGGCAGAGAAAACGGGGTCTCTAGCTTCCTCGAGCCTCTGAATGAATGAGACATCCCTTTATTTACAGGGCATCTTTGCGTTGCCTGCCATACACACAGATTCCCCAGGCTGTACCAGGGCAGGGGGAAAATGAATCATGCTCTTGAATACATTAAATCAGCATCTAAATTTAGTCCTTTTTTCTGTCTCTCTTGAGTATTTTCACAAGTTTGGTTAGTAATGTGGAAGCAGAATGTCCAAAACTTACTTTCTACCATGACAACTTATTATTTAGCCGTTTCTATTCTCCCTAAATTAACTATCCAACCTACCTAATGCATGGATCACATTTTATTTCCCTTATTGCCTAGGGCCTTTCCGTCTGAAATTAATAGGTTATCTGGAGTAAGAGGGATATTTGTGTTGTTGTTTGGTTTGATTTGGTTTTGCGGTTCAAAAACTCTATAGGCTTGTTGTCTCTGTGATGTTGACTGGATTTAAAGTGTTGTTTTTGTCAGGAAACAAGGAGCATGCATGGGCATGTAAAGCTCAGACATTCTCCTGTATTACTTTTCTGTCTCAAATCATTTGTTGCTCACTTCAGGTGTGGAAATTAGGATAGCTCAAGGCCGGTCTCTAAAATATGCCTACTTATGGTGAAGCTTAGAACAGCAAGAACACAGAAGATGACTGTTGTTATGCATTTCAAGCCATAGACTCCAGTTCTGGAAACTCAGGGCTCTGCATCTGTTTGGTATTCAGGACTGACCTTCTCTAATGGATTCAGAGCACACTATGCCTGACAGCTGTGGCGTGGGGAGTGTTCCCTGACGAAGGAAAGTATTTTGGAAAAGACAAACTCGAGCCTGTGCCAACTTTTGGGAAAGGTGGTATTGTTTTGCTGGGTTTTGTTTTTGCAAATTGCTAAGGAAGTAAGCCAATATGAGGCACCACCCCCATTTTCTGTCCCTGAAAGTCAGCTTACACTCTAGAGAATCCCCACCCAACTTGTTTACTAATGCAGCCTGAGGGTTAACGGGCTTACAAACAGCAGAACTATCTGCAGACAGGCCATTGTGATGATTCATTTCACTGTTGTAACCAACATTTGTTCCACTGTCATCATGCTGATTTTAGCCTTTGCTCACAGGTTAGGCTCCATTTTTAATTTGTTCATTTCTCAGTCAATGAATATTTATTTTGTTCCTACTATGAGCTGAACATCGAGGTACAGAGATGCATGTGACAGAGACATTGTCTTCAAGGAATTTACAGTCCAGGAGAGACAGACTGACGTGGTCCATACATGTGGAGATGGAGCCCCAGAAAGAAAGTAGTCAGTTCTTCCTGGGGTGAAAGGAGGAGCACAGTAGATGAAGCCTTGCAAAGAGTGGGAAGGTTGAGCTGAGCCCTGAAATTTAAGTAGATATTTGCTAGACAGATGGGAGCAGGGGGGGTGTGAAGGAGAAGAAT